CGCGACCGAAATGTAAAATGAGAGTTATTTCAATTTCTTATTCAAATTTAACACATCTAATGAATTTACTTTCAATTCAAGAATCAAATATTAATTATGTATTATAATATGATGCATCAAACAAATTACTAATAATTCAATAAGTGGAAATACTTATTAACCTATATTATCGCTAGCTTTGTTATAATACATTCAATATTACCAGGTACTCACGAAAAGTTAGCAGCTTCGAAGACGAATCCATCATGGCGTCCATACTTCGTTCTCCAAAACGCTCGTTGATGGCCATATTTGATTGTCAAATTCACTCGTTGGCGGCCATATTTCGTTTGCGAATTTGTTCGTTGGCGGCCATATTTGCTTCTTAAATTCGTTCGCGTCTAATGCGTCTTACGTGATTCTTGCAATCCATTAATGACCTGCACAAAAGAAAACACCAAATTTAAAATAAATATATGAAACTGCAACTAATTATGATAAAATTAAACAATCGTATCTAAATTTAAACTGCTGGTACTTCAACGACCAACTCCAAAATTATGAAATCAGAAAAGACGTAAAAACTAGATAGATTTGCTATACTAATGTTCAAAAAGTTAATAAACGAACACGTCTTAATCGAATAAAGTTAACAGTAGTGTATAAATGATAAGAGAAAAGGAATGAAAATATTACGCAATAGATACGCCGCGGTTGGTTACATCCGTCCGAAGTAACACGTCCAACCACGGTAAGGACCCGTATTAGACTGATCCTCCCGCACATCGGTAGCCACTAACCAGATCGCTGATTGGTCGAGAAGCAGCTTCCCCTTCTACTTCTAATGTTTCGCGAACTACAAAATTTAACGAATACAATAAGTAAAGACGCAAACTATCCCTTTGATAAATATTACTTTACCTTCCAAAATACCCTCAGAATTGACTAGCGAAAACGACGCACGCGTCGCGACGTCGAAAATAGGTGTTGCAGGAGTACAAAACACTTTAACACATGCCGCCACATACGAACTGTACCAACTATACGAATTATACGAAATATACGAACTTCATATTTCTACGTGACTTCGTAAAAAGACCGTTGCAAAGCAGGGTGGTGGAGGGGGTGAAGCCCGAGGATTTTTCCAGAAAGTTCGATCACATGACGGCATGACAAAAAGACCGTTACGACGATCAGTCGAGTCCTGTCTGTCGACGAAGAGGTGACACTTAACATCGCGTAACGATAGTGGGTAGTTTCAACGTCTTAGCTTATATTCTCATAATTTTGATAACCGTCCGCGATCTTTAGCTTACATTCCTTCGAATAAACAGATCATTAATTGGTGTGACACAGTGAAATTGCGTCGCGCTATCCCGCCGTTCGAATTTTTTGGCTTATATTTTTAAAATTTCGGTTCTCACTCGCTATTTTTTTGCCGGACTCATTAGAATAAATTATTCTTTAATTCGTGTGCCAATTTTTTGCCAATTTTGACCGTTCTTTTCTGACATTCAGTGCTGAAAATGTGAAATAGCGACGCGCTACTGCGTAGTTTGGATTTTTTGTTTTATATTTTTAAAATTTCGGTTCTCACTCGTTATTTCTTTGTCAGACTCGTTGGAATAAATTTTTCTTTAATTCGTGTGCCAATTTTTTGCCAATTTTGACCGTTCTTTACTGACATTCAGTGCTGACAGTGTGAAATCGCGTCGCGCTACTGCGTAGTATGAATTTTTTGTTTTATACCTTTAAAATTTCGGTTCTTACTAGTTATTTTTTTGCCGGATTCGTTAGAATAAATTGTTCTTTAATTCGTGTGCCAATTTTTTGCCAATTTTTTGCCAATTTTGACCGTTCTTTTCTGACATTCAGTGCTGACAATGTGAAATAGCGACGCGCTACTGCGTAGTTTGAATTTTTTGGCTTATATTTTTAGAATTTCGGTCCTCACTCGTGATTTTCTTGTCAAACTCGTTAGAATAGACTATTCTTTAATAAGTGTGCTATTTTTTTTCCAATTTTGACAGTTCGTTGGTGAAATCCAGTGCTGAAAGTGTGGAATCGCGTCGCGTTATTCCGTCGTTTGAATGTTTTGGCTTATATTTTTGAAATTTCATTTCTCACTTGCTATTTTTTTGTCAAACTTGTTAGAATAGACTGTTTTTTAATGAGTGTGCCATTTTTTTTCCAATTTTGACGGTTCGTTTATGCAATCCAGTGCTGACTGTGTGAAATCTCGTCGCGCTATTCCGTCGCTTGACTTTTTTGGCTTACATTTTCAAAATTTCGGTTCTCACTCGCTATTTTCTTGTCAAATTTGTTTGAATAGACTGTTCTTTAATTTGTGTGCCACTTTTTTTCCAATTTTGACGGTTTGTTTATGCAATCCAGTGCTGACTGTGTGAAATCTCGTCGCGCTATTCCGTCGCTTGACTTTCTTGGCTTATATTTTCTAAATTTCGGTTCTCACTCGCTATTTTCTTATCAAATTTATTTGAATAGACTGTTCTTTAATTTATGTGCCATTTTTTTTCCAATTTTGACGGCTCGTTGGTGCAATCCAGTGCTGACAGTGTGAAATCTCGTTGCGCTTTTCCGTCGCTTGCCTTTTCTGGCTTAGTGTTTCCAAATTTCGGTTCTCACTCGCTATTTTCTTGTTAAATTTGTTTCAATAGACTGTTCTTTTACTTGTGTGCCATTTTTTTCCCAATATTCACGGTTCGTTGTTGCAATCCAATGCTGACAGTGTGAAATCGCGACGCGTTATTGCGTAGTTTGAATTTTTTAACTTATATTTTTAAAATTTCGGTTCTCACTCGTTATTTTCTTGTCAGATTCGTTAGGATTGACTGTTCTTCAATTAATGTGCCAATTTTTTTTTTTTTTTTTCATTTAAAACCGAATTAACAGTTTTTATAGTGGTAGATAATTTCATTGTATGATAGGTCTATTTTGCAATTCGGCTTTGAATATATTTTATATATATTGTTAATATATCGTAATTAGAAATTTAGGACACTTATTTTTTCATAAATCATATTGGTGTAAATAAATGGTATGTAGATTAAAGTGCGGTGTACCAGCCTTCGGTTTAAATCTTCAAAATGTTTCAGGTTATCTTACGCAGATGGCAGCAGCTACAATTTCTTCGATCTGTTGAACTATGCATTTTACCAGCGCTCAATATATAAAGACATAGGTCCTAAAAATTCATGTCATAAGGATCGAAACTTGAAAAGTATGTATCGAAAATCAATTTTTATTCTATAAATTTCTCTAAAAATTATTTATAGTTTGAATATTAATTATAAAGAAATTTCATTAGTTGTACATCATTCATTTAACACGTTAAATCACCATCCGTACAATTATGCAGGTTACTAGAATAACTACGTGCGGAGAAAAGTAATTACGTATAAAAATGTACAATCTCATTTAATATCGGCAAGGAAGAATAAACTATCATTTTCTACCTCATTATATCAGGATATTATCGTCGACAACGCGTTACTGTGGGTAAAACAGACTGAAAGGAAAAGGTTGTTAGTTCTGCGTTCAATGGTTGTCATAATTATTTTTCAAGAAGTATATACCATCCAGTCTATGTCGTATAGGGTAGCGACACGTATAATCCGTCACGAATGATAAGCCCACATCCAATTTAATATCTCTCATAGGACTGAATTTGCTTATCTATCTACCTGCCATCTTGCCACGTTCTCTTAAAATGTGCAGTGAACACGCTTGCTCAATGGATTATCTGACGCAAGCTGTCATTAACGTGACTCTCGTGCCATGGTCACAGTATTACTGGGAGAGACCAAACCGATGATATATTCTTCTTTTACCTCTCTTTTTCCAATTTTTAATTTATTTCTCTTCTTTTATGGCGGGACTGGTGATGATTTTCAAAAACGGAAACCAGTTTACGGTCGTCTCGACGTCGCGAATGCGCTTGTTCGAAAGTCAAATGGACCGAATTGAATCAAATAAGGAATTATCCTGTTCGAAGTTAAATAAATTATTAGTCAACCGCTTTAATGTGTAATTAAAGATTCTTCTTTTGTCGACTATATTTTTGTGATAAAAATTGTGGGTAGGAAATATTGGCAGGAGTAAAATTTTGAAGAGACAGGTATAATTATATTTACTACCGACATAGATTACGCGTAGCTACGGCACTGCCGAGTCTACGCAATCGAACAATGGCTGCTTGGCGGTAAAGCGTCGTGCACACGTTACCGACTAATATTTTCTCCATCTAATCAAATTACAAATTTCTTCGACAATTCTGTTCCATAATTTCTTCTTCACAAAAGTCTACAGAATACGATTCCCTATAGCAAATTCGTTCTGAATAAAAATCTCATCATAAAAACATAAGAATAGTACAAAAAAGTGCGCTCAATCTCTTATTTTCAAACTTTGATAATAATTTACAATTACTTAGAATCACAAACAATTATAGTTATGGATACCGATAAACTCAGAATTCTTTTACCTAACTTTTAGCATAAGTAGGAACCTCCACGCTCTTCTAGTTTTCCTGTAATCCTTCATTTTATCCAAAAATCGTGAATTTTTTTGAAAAACTCGTATTTTTCGTAACCTAAAAATGATAGAGGAATTTCGTTTACAGATTTGTATTTAGAAAAGCAAGCTCTATAAGAATTATTCAATGAATATTACACATGTGAGGAAAAATAAAAATTTGTCGTACAGTGTGTAGTTTTAGTTATATTACTGTGGAGTAAACTAAAGCGTTGTATATTCGAACATCGAATATTACTCATAGAGTGAGTAACAGTGAAAATGCTGTTTCGAGAAATGTCAGCGCAAGTTAGCACGAGGAAAGCCGTGTGGCAGTGGAAAGGCGTGGTAGAAGATCAGAGTGCAATCTGCATTATTCTGTAGCCGGGGCGCGCGGGCGGCCATCAAGGCCTCTTCAGGTCAACGTGATCCAATCTGCCGTATAAAACGCCCCTCTCGCCGATCCTTCCAGCACTGTTGTACTTCTCGTCGCCCCGTTGTCGTTATTCCTCCATTATGGATGCCGTATTCGTAAGTAGTCTCTTTCAATTTTCCATCGGAACTCTTCACCACGCATTGTCAACATCGATAATCGATTACTTCCTCGTTGCATCTGTGACCTACTTGTGAAACCTCGTAACAAATACGTCTCTCGTTTCGCCATTGTTGCTTTGTGACTCGCTCTGTTCTCGTCCTCGCTGGTCCAAACCTCGTTGAGTTTGGATTCTTGGAAGGAGCTAAAAATCGGTGATACGTTAATTTGATTAGTACCGAAAATCACTGAATTTTGAATACATGTTATTTGAACCTTGTAATTTTTTATTTGTGGCAAACAATTTCTGATTTGGAAAAAGTATAATACATATGTTGAAGTATAGTAGAATTTAATGAAATATGTATACGTAACATTCTATAGTAATATAGTAATATAGTAATATAGTAATATTCTACAGAAAATTTTTGGAAATTTTCTGATACTTATTGGACCTTGATAAATTAGGAATATGTTACCTGAAATAAATTTTATTTTATTTTTATAGTAAAAGTGAGAAAAATTGGAAAGTTTGGATTTTTGGGAAAATTCTTTTTCAATTCTTAAAAGCATTGTGGGCAGAATTATTGCTATGTATTTTCATTAATAGTTTTTGCTCTACATATTCCAATTTTAATTTATTTTCTTCTACATTGCATATTTTAATAAATTTTTGCCTTTCTTTAAATAATATTGAATGATTTTTGTAATGTATATATTTCTTTTTCATTTCACTGTCTCTAAAGTCACAAACCTGAATTTCCAGGCGTTACTGTTCTGCACGATTGCACTGATCTCTTGTCAATCGACGAACGGCCAATACCAGCCACCCCAACAGGCAGCAATTTTGAGCGATGCTAGATACCTCGCTGGTGATGGCACTTTCGGCGCCGCTTATTCGCAAGAGGATGGTGTGGAGTTCAAAGAAGAAAGCGACGTTTACGGAAATCGTCGTGGGTCTTACTCCTACGTCGATCCAACGGGTCAAAGACGCACTGTGTCATACACTGCTGGAAAAGATGGCTTCCAGGTACGTCTGAACACATACTTAGAACAAAATTCTAGTACTTTTTTACTAGAACTTAAATTTCATTTGTTGAACATAGAAAAAAAGGATTGCAATGTTGAAATCAATTTACGTATCAATTATTTTAAATAATACTTTTTTCTTATTCAAATTATTTCATTTTACGTAATTAATTAAATTTTTTAATTAGTCAAGTTCAGATTTATGAACTGTTTGTTAAAATGGAAATTTTTGGTAAAATTTAGAAGAAATATTCTGGTCAATTGATTGCTATGAATAATAAAATCATAGGTTTTTAATATTATCGTTTTTCTTGTGAAGTTGTCACGATTCCTGTTATTACTGCTCACTGTGTTTGACAAATTAGACATGACTATCACACACGACTGCGTAATTTTCGCAATTATGTCTTCGAAGTCAGTGTCCATGATTTTTCGCGATTCTATAACTGCTAATTTTTAATTCGTTCTCCATGCGTAATTAGTTAATAAAAGGTTGTTAACATACTTAATTAATATATATGTATATATACAGAAATATCAGCTCAATCATCAATGATTATAGTTATAAAACAGCGATTAAACCAAAGAACATGTTCCAATAATAATTTCAAGATTTTGTGACGATTAATATTACCAATATTTAAATATCGTATTAAAATTACATATACTATCCTTATTTCAATAAAATTATTATTTAAATACCACTTTACTACTTTATATCAATATTAATACTAAACTAAGTGATAACATTTTGCCATTTAATATTAATATTAAATTAATACCATAATAATTTCTTCCCATAGTAATATTAATAATTAGATAACTTCCTTCAAGCAACTTTTACCTTTGAATATTAGCATTAATATAGCTTTTTACTGTCCAATATTAATATTTACTTATTAATCCTTATTAACTTATTAACTTATTTATTGTTAACTTAATAATAATTATTTATTAATTCATTATTATTAACACCAATATTAACTTATTTACTTATTTATTATTAACTTAATAATATTTATTTATTTATTAATTATACTTTAGTTATTAACACCAATATTAACCAGAAATTATTTCATCTATATTTCCTACAGACATAAAGATTCCTAGCCTACTCAACGTTTAAGTCCAAACGTTGCTTCTTTTGTTCAAACAAATAGGCCACAGGTGACGGCATTCCCGTTCCACCCCCGCAAGCTGCGCCACAACCAGAGTACGTGCCTCTGCCACAGTACAACCCACCCGATTATCAACCACCGCGTTATAATCCACCTCCACAGCAATATCAACGCCAGAGTCAACCGAATTACGAAGTACAACCTGAGCCACAACCTCAACCGCAACTTCCACCTCAACCAATCTATCAACCTCAGCCACAGTACCAACCCAGACCTCAGCCACCTCCTGAAATCCAACCTATTCCTTCTTACAGTCCCAGGCCGCAGTATCAACCTCCAGTTAGACCACCACCACAATACAACGCCATAACAACACCACCGCCACGGAGGTTTTATCCACCAGGAAAGCTGAGCTTCAACAGGACTCCAGACGGCTATTCCTACACATTTAGCAAGAGTTAAGTAAGTTGCAACTAGCACAGGAGGCAATCCTATGGTTGTTTTGTAGGATACATTTGGGTTTATCTTAAAAATTTTGTTTTGGTAAATTGTTGATTTGAAATTGAATTTGGAAGTAAATTGGTTTACACTAGAGACAGAAAGGTTATCAGAATGACTGGTTTCAGATTTTTGTAATTAACCTTTTAGGTACCACATGCTTATCCACCACTTTGTCTCACAGAAAACATACAAGTACCACAATCTTCACTTTATATCATTTTATTTTGCATGTTACACAAATTTGCAATGTTTTCTCTTTTTTTTTCTTATTTATCAGTTTTAACGATTTTGCAGTACGAGGAAAAATTTGGTTTAGGAGAAATAAGTGAGAAATAAAGCAAGAAATATATAATACAGTCAAAAATTATGACATCCACAAAAGTCACTATAGGCATAGTGTTCAAATTGATGCTTTCCACTATAGTGGTGTACCGTACCTAAAAGGTTAATGAAAATATGCAATTATTTTTGGAAAAGTATCAATTCTTATTGGGATAGAAACATAACCTATTTATTTTCATCATACTACTTTAACTGCTATTAGTTGTTTACATTGTATTTAGACGCACATTGAAAGTAGTTCTAGTGTTAATTGGTTAGATATTGATGTTTTATTTAATAATCATTTTCTTTTGAAATATGGATCATTATTTTGGATTTGAAATTCATTTCTAGTAGTTTAGATTTTAGAAATGGGATACATAATTTAGGATTGAATTGTTCATTGAAAATGATAAATAACCACAAGAATATTGTTAATATGTGAATAAGCCCTTGTTAAAAGTTTATAAAAATTGAAAAAAAAATTGTACTTAGATACATATATCATAGTGTATCATAGCAACCTGTCTTAATTTATTGGACTAGGACTAATTTCTTTTTACATATGTATTTCTTAGAATATTTCTTAACTTGCTCATATATAATCTATTTTTAATTGGACAAAATTGAAATTCGCGAAAAATATTTGATATTATTCATTTTATATACATTTTACATTTACGCTGAATATGATAATTATTAAATAATAATTCAATAATTATTATTGAATAATTTAATAATTAATGTAACTTTTCACAATTTTAGATTATTTAACAATTTTATTCACTTAAATATTGCAGAAAGTTTTCTAAAAATTATAAACTACTATACATAAATAACATATGCGGAAATTATCGAACGGCAAATTAAATCTCCGATCACGCATTCATAATTAAGAGATTGTAGGTAACCAGAGCCTTGTCCATGATCTTAAGAAGTACAAGGCTCCTCGCATGAAACAAGTTCAACTTCCTCTTAAAGACTGCATAAATTTTGCATAAATTCCCGAGGAAATGTAACGAATAAATTAATAGATCTATCTTGCTTAAAAGGGATTCTTTCATACATACATTAATTATAGAAATAACACAAATATTCACGCTATAATTAGTTTAATTAAATAGGTAATTTCTATCGATTTATTTCACTCAAATTTCTTCCACTTTATTCCATTACATTCTTAAATATTCCATGGGTACATTTTATCATATTTCTTCGTTTCCTTAATCAATTAAAAATATTGGACATACTTAAAAATCCTGGAATAGTATATTTTCATGATCTTTCAGAAAATATCAATAGATCATTTTGTAAAGTAACATACCTAAGTACATATTATACTTTCCTTATATAATATACCATACACTTGTCAGATATAAATTTCTGTATATCGCATTAGTATAACTTTTTATTCACCGATTTTGATTGCTATCACAGTTTCTCTTCCCAAAAAGAAAACATTGGAATTCGAGATTTACATTCCTATCTCATAACCTAATATAGTGTCTTTATGTCGCGATTATACCTATGTTTTTGGTGCAGGATATTATCTAATAATATCTATAATATTGGGAGGAGAAAAATTTGTTTAAAAAGCGTAAAATTTTATAAACATATTTGTTATTTATGTGCACTGGGCACATGCAACATTATTATGTTTTATTACAATTTCTTTACACTTAAAATGTGAACATTTGGCACATTTCATACTCTATTTGTTACTGTTACCTAGACATATGTAACACCTGGACCTCTTTCACGATTCATTGGGTGATGATTCTTTCTGTTTGTTGAGCTTTCTGCCCGTAGCTTCAGTTAGTTATGAGGATTCATACCACGTTTAATGGAAATCGTGTTATAAGAAAATCAGAATTAACCACTTGTGCTACCAATGAACTCACAGACGCGTGTGCCAGAACGGTCCAGTGTTTCTGTGACAATTGCCTGACGACGTACTAAGCGTGGCTGAAAAGAAGTCATCTGAGAAACTTGTAGGACCAAATCCCCACCAACCCAATTACTCTAACATCATGGCAGAAGTAGAGTAAAGCGTTTCCTTTATTGATGGAACTGATCCCAAATGTAGTTTTGGGAGTGTCATAGAAGAGTGGGTATTACTAGCGAGAGTGTAGGTGGAGCAAGTGGAATACCCCTCTTGCCCCGCAACCGAACGAGTTGACTTCTTTTCAGCCACGCACAGTAGACAACGCATAGTAGATAGGCTGTGCCTTCTTTCCTCGAATGCGCTATATTTATCTATCCAATCTATTCTTTTCGCTGTTCCACTGAATACTGTCAGCTAGGGACGTTAGAACTCTTTACGCAGTCAGTTTATGTTACAGTGATAAAAATAGGGACTGCAGACTAGGCCCACAAAAATAGGGGGCCTCCTCTTCGCTACGCTCAAGTTTCGGTCCAAGCGTCAGCACAAAACTCGCAATTTCGTCACAGTAGATAACCCTTTGACTACGGCAGACTTTGAAACGCACCGGTCGTACCACACGAGTAGGAATTCATTTACAATGTTCGCCGAGAACGGCAAAATTTTGGGTAGAGATGCAAACTGTGTTGAACGCTTATATGCGCCCTCCGTATCAGAAAAGCAAACTGTGTTAAGCGCTTATATGCGCCCCCCGTGTCACAAAAGCAAAATTTCTGAGCGCGTATATGCGCTCACAGTAGCCAAGGGGATGAAGGGAGAAAGTAGGGTGTCTAAAGTCTCCGTTACCGTTTAGGGTTAAACACTCGAAACAAATCGCCATCTTGTAATATTCGTTTCTATCTCCACCTAGTATCCACAAAGGGTACTACGAGGCGGAGAAAGCCCGATTGGTTTATCGATAGATACGTTACGGAACTGTGAAACGAGAAAAGATAACCGAGTTGTAAATTCTACATACTTTTCCATCCCAGAGGAAAATGAGGGACATGAAATGTCGATTAAAATTTCTCGACGAAATCTTGGAATGAAGTTGAACGGAGAGAAAGGCGGGAAAGTTTCAAATAGAAAAAGTCGAGTGGAATTTCCGGCAACTCTTAATTATTGTATAAGGTTACCGATGTAAGTTGCTGGGTATTTTGCGTTCATCATTGTGTTAGATTTTCTTAATCGTTTGGACTGGTCGACGCCCTCCATTTTGCATAGCGATTTCCTTTACAAATGCGAGCACGATCCCGCGCACTTCGGGGTCACGTTACTTTCATTTAGCAACCTTTGGCGTTCTTTGTGCTGTTGCATCAAAGTATGGAGAATCCCACGGTCCATAAGGGAAGATACGCAACCGTTTAGGCGTGAGCTATGCTTCAGTGCAAATGAAGCTTGAACGTGTGAATCACCGAGAGTGAGTTCATACACATCGCGATCTAATTCCTCGTCAATTCCCATAACTAGATTATCGTTTAAATGTTCTATTTTCGTGTTTTGGAAATTGAAACGAATTTTGTAGAAGTAAGTTTAATGTAGCTTAATGTTGATATAAAGGTGTATAGATCTCATTCCTATTATACTGTTGTTTGTATTGTCCGTGTTGCTATTGTTTGTTCATTTCACTGGGATTAAAATATGTAAAAAAATTTTGAGGAAAATTTTATATTTTTTGGTAAATGTATTTTTATTCATCAATGTATTGATTGATATTTAAAACAAATGAGCAATTCATTAAATTAATTAATCAAATGAGATGAGGATGACTACTGAAATATTATAGTTGATAATATTATAGTTGATGATAAAAGTTTAGATAAAGTAAATTACATATATTTACATCAGATAAAATAGCTGCATATAAAATGGTATCATTTATATTATTATTTTAGTTTATATTAATGTACTTAAGATTTGGATACCTCAAAGCATGAAATTTGTAAATGCTTAAATGTGTAATGTAAAAACCATTATATAAAGAATATTGAAAATATGCATGTCTGTATTAATTTATGCATGACAAACGATTTTTAATATTCCTTACTATCATGAAATAATTAAACAGTCCTCCATTAACTATCTGCAATAAGAATCCCAAATCTCATATTACACAAACTATATTTATCTACTATAATAAATTCACTAAAATTACAATTCTTCCAGAACTCCAAAAACTAACTAACTTCTATTTTACAAAGTATATCAAAAAATCATAACACATGAATACTAAAAAATCATAATTGAGATATTTTTGTCACAAAAATACTTTAACACACATAGAATTTAACATTTCAGTGTTTCATGGCTACCATAAATATACTTTAATTATTACCAATAGCAATAATAGCTCCTACTCTAGTTTCATCTTTAGTTCATTCTTCAACATTAGTTACAGCTGTAGTTTACTTAATAATTCGTTATGTAGAATTAAAAAAATTAAGAAAATTAAATTTTATTTATTTTAAGATTAACAATATTATTTTCTGGAATTTCAGCAACTATATTCTAGTTTCTTAATTTTAATATTCATTGCAAGCTTATTTACAACGCAGAATATAAAAGATAAATTACTCCTGTATTCAAACATTTTCATCACTTACAACTCTCATCAAACATCAGACCATTTCTGTCTAAAATTATCCCATCTCGCTCTATTCGCTCGTTCCTCGTAAAGGCTCGTCCACAGTTCACATACTATCCTTAAGGTAGGTTCTGTAGACTAGCGCCGAATGTTAGCAGCACGGTATCGTCAACATGGCGGCGACGTAAGCGGAAGGGCAACGTTAAACAAAGGGACGATTATCTCATTATCCTGGCTCGCGTATAATACCAGTGCAGTCGAGACGAAGGGAAAAATGTAGTTTGGTTGGGCGTTCGTTTAATCGTTTGCCAGTATTCGTAATACGGGTGCGGCAAGGTAAACCGGCCATATCGAAGCAGGAACTCGATAACCTTAGTGGTGGGCCGAAAGAAATGCATACCGTAACGTTTCGCGTCACGTCGATGTCGTTTAAGAAAGTCGATCACGGATTTAATTTATGGCCAAACGGGTGCAGCCCGTGCTGGATGCAGCCTGCACGCACCGGCTACATATTTGCTGAGCCACTCGTGTGCCCTGCATCCGTGTTACGTTCGACCATTTTATTTTTACTTGTGTTCCATTGTCATATGTTGACGGACAAAATGGTGACGAACAGACAAGACACTACGTACTTAGACTGATCACTTTTCCATGTGAGGAAATTGGTTGTAAAATACTGTAACGATAAACAGTAAATTTGTGCAGTTTATTTGACGTTCATTTTTAGGTTATGAATATTTTTATTGCTAGAATGTTAATTTTTGAAATAAATAGAGGTAATAATGGTATAGTAATTCCTTTGTGGGTAATTTATGATAAGAATATTTTCTCCTTCACTGATGGTTTGTATTGTGTTGGTAATAATGGTATAGTAATTCCTTTGTGGGTAATTTATGATAAGAATATTTTCTCCTTCACTGGATGGTTTGTATGGTGATTGTGAAAAATAAATGAATTATTCATAAAGGTGTCTTTGCAGTGTTTCAATTGTGTTTTAGCCTTGATTAGAATACATGGTAATAAAAATTGTTGAAGGAGAACAGAAAATGATCAGAGCTGAAATGTAGCTGTATCATTGAGACGCTAGCAATAACTTACGCAATTTGCATAGATTTTATTACAGAGAAATATCAATGAAAAAGTAATAATACTTGATTAATAAATTTTAAATAGAATACTAATTATTGTATTATTAATCTTATATTTTATCATCTCAATAATTTAGTGCAAATACATTTTTTAGATATTTTTTAAATTTTTCAAACAAAACTTATTTACAACCTGCAATTTTTTTAAATGAAGTAAAAATAATTTTTGCATATTATCATGTGTACTATTATAGAATTATTAACAAATAAATTTCCAATGTTTATTTATAATATTATTTTTAATAAAATCCCTAGAAAGTGAGCAAAATAGACAAAACTTATTTAATTTATTTCTGCATCACGTATTACACTACATGTTTTTCTCAAATTAATTCTGATTTATTCAAAGGTTTAGTAATTTGAAAAGCAATGTATTACTTTTTCAGTCGTGTTTTATTTATAAAGGTATATTGGTTATACATTTCGTTTCAAGATTATGGCAGTAATATACTGACTCTGATTAGCTGCGCGTGACATCAACAGTATAAAAGTAGTCTAAAAACAGCTGCTATTAGAGGCAGTGGCATCAAACATTCACTCCTCACAACAAAAAGAGGAAAAAAAAAATATAATAAAAGACGAAATTAAAAAAAGAAGTAAAAGAACGAGAAAAAAAACAACTCTCATCTTATCTCTATGAGCTTAACTTATCGTTATTTCAAAATTCTTATGCCAGTGTGCCTCCCTAACACGTTTCAATTTCAAATGATCAGAGCGAAGTCGGATAAGTCCCAGAGAAAAGGCACTATACGTCTATTAAATATAGTATTCCACTCTCGATCGTACAAAGTACTACAGTTATAAATCAATTACGCTTTACATCTTGCAAACACTTCTATCACGAAATTTCTCCTTGAAGTTAGTATTAAATTTCATTAAAAAAAAAAAAAAAGAAAGAAAAAAACAAAAAAACGTAAGTTCCGCTAGGTCTTCGCATAGACATATTATTGCAATCTCTAAAAATTTACATTCTCATCGACGGCGTGCAAATGGCAGGCATAATTTTTCGAACTTCGACATGCTATATAATACCTGAAAATTTTCGTCAAAATCAAGATCGCAGATCGGTACTCGCAAATGCACCCACGTGCTTGCTACGCTCCTGACCGTGTTCTTACGTTGGCTGTCATTGACACGTCACCAGACACGACAGACGAACGATTAGAAAAGTGAAAATCCGCGTACATGAGTCGTTGTGCACTTTGTTAAATTTTCAACGACGATAGGTTAGCGCTCTCGTACTGGCTAAACCGCATAGGCGAGTAACATTCTCGTCATCCCAATATGTCTCGCTATTCTACATACGTACAAACTACATAAAAAATGTTTTTGTTAAATGCATTAGACGAAAGGCCGGCATTTTTGTCTTCTTTTCCCCCATTTTCCTTTACATTGTTTACTAATTAAGCCGCTATGAACGGTTAATAGGTTATGCGTATTTGTCGCGCGAGTGTCCGAACGTCTTTCCTCTATATTACTCGCAAAATCTCTCTCTCTCTCTTTCTCTCTTTGTTTTTCTTTCCTTGTCCCTCGTTCTCTTCGTAACAATCGCAACTATTGTCGATACGACTAACACTATATTGCACTAGTTAGAATTATACAAAATATATACCTAACGATAGGCTTAGCATTTTTTCTTTTCATTTTTCTCTCTTTCCTTTTCTTTTGCAGTCAACCATTTTTAGGCACCGTTAACCTGGAAGTAATTTGGATCGAAAAGAAGCCGGGAGTCGTACGTGAGGCAGGAGGCACGGCAGTTCTCGTAACACTCTTTTCGCGCAGACTATACAATGTTCTATTCTAAAGACGAGAGGAAGAAAGCGCCGTAGAAGCGAATCCTATGAAGTTACTGGAAGAGACAGTTTGTTCACAATGCAAAGTCTCTCACGGGACACTCGACGAACCAATATGGCGAAACGATACTGCATACTTTCACATTTTCAAGCGAAGAAATCAAATGAGAAGCGCACGGTGTAACTCGTTAAAATTCAATTTAAAGTTAACACAAAACGCAGTAGCAAAAGAAAATTTGTTTAATTAAAAGACATTAAATACTCGAGTTTGTAAGTACATGTACACTTTGTTTTTCCCTCTTTCGTTAACCATGACAAGATGGAAGTTTGCTCTGCATGCAATGTAAACCGAATCTTACCCTTCCCTGGTTAAGTACATACTCATACTTCAGGTACCAAGGATGATCGTAACAATAAATGAGATTTTAAACAGACAATGGAAAAAAAAAGTTAAAAAAAAAAGAAAACAATTAAAATCTGCTTGATCTAGAGTAGATTAAGAATATAAACATCTGGGGGTACTTGTGTTCGGTAATATTGTCAACACTTATACTACACCACAGTAAAAACTACACGTTTGGTATTATAAATCGATAATGTGGCTAATAATATATCGCCTTTGGAAGATCATTGAGTTTCACTTAAAAGAAAAAAAAAAATGGAAATAAAAAAATCACATAATTGGAATATAATCTTAACATTCATACTCTGTATACGCAGCCACTACGATCACCAAATAAATGATTTTTAAGATAAGAAGAAATATTTGTAATTTCTTTCTAAAAATAAAATAATCTATTCTTATCGATAAAAAGAATTTCTTAATCAAATAATATTTCTGTAAAAGCACACAACGTAACATATAACATATTTAAAAGCGCTGAAACGTATAATTTTTAAAACAATTATTTTGAAACAATAAAATCTCCAGATCATAGAACATATAAAATAGATCATGGATCTTCGAACGTGTCAAAAAAAAAAAATATGGTAGCATTGAGAACAAACCTGTACATCAGACAGCGGATACTGCTAATAGCTAAAGATAGCGGGAAGCTAGCTATGTAGGAACGTATACTATTAAGTAATTGTATTTAAATACTGCCGCAATAGTGAGTTCTCTTACCGTATAAATCAGTATTGCGTCAATATCTAAATATCTGACGAATAACGTATGTCTCAATTCATTATATATAATATCCGGGATACACAGTAGTACTTCTATGGTTATTCGAGATCTTTTATTTCGGTGATATGTCGCGTGACGTGAAAAATATTATCCTCTGTTCTTTCCTGAAAGCAGTGCACTTTACGTTTATTGACTGGTGATCAAACATTGAACAAACGAATTATGCAATTATCGAGAAAATTCGTTCAACAATTTTCAATAGCTACATTTATTCTCCTCTGTAACGTGAAACAAGCAATCCATGTGTATCCATTAGTATTTATACAAAAACATACTACTGTGTATCACTTGCTAATAAATCAGTATATATTCATTACAATCACAATACGCATGACATCCTATGCAAAAGTTCTGGTCGAAATGGAGTAGAGAACTTGTACTATGGTAAGACACGAATCGATGGCGCATAATGACAGGAAGGATAATTCTAGCTGCATAATCCAGAAGGATCGACCAGTCCACGTGCGATCAGTTCGGCTGTCGCTGGATCGCCTCCTTGTTTACCACTCGAATGCTGAGGCGGTGTTTGTTGCGCGTGAGGTTCGAAATGGGAACGTACATGGAACATAAATTCAGCCTTATCTGTGAAATCTGTGCGGCACATCAGACAGAAGTGCCTCTCAGACGCGTATGGCTGCGGTGGAGCCGCGGACCCTGGGAAATACGGTGCTGCATGTTGTGGCGGAGCCGATGCTTCCAAGTGAGATCTGTAACAACAACATTCAACTTAATAACGATAGAACAAGAGACAATCATTTAACACGCTGACAACGAAATATTTAATTCTTTACAATAATTCCTTCTCGAGTCAAACTATCTTATTACAAAGTCTCTCAAATTTATAGATACATCAGATGCAACTATAAATAAAAATTACCGAGCATGTTGCATCCACTCCTCCCTTGTGGCTAATGCTCGGCCGCACAATTCACATGCCCAGCTAACTGGTTCTTCTTTCAACTTGTGTATAGTATCCTGACGGGATTGTTGCTGTTGTTGCGGTTGCTGAGATTGCTGCTGTTGCTGGGCTTGCTGCTGCTGCTGTTGCTGTTGCTGCTGCTGCTGCTGCTGCTGTTGATCCGAATTCGGGGCTGTGGGTGTAGACAGTGGCGCCACACCCGGTCTATGTCTCAACTTGTTCATATGAATAACTAGTTTATCTCTACGAGCAAATGCTTTACCTGTAAGTAGTAAGTAGCGTTACATTAGTTCAGCTTAAACAAGTAAATCATCGTATAAACAACAGTTTCAGCGCACTTACCACAAACTCCGCAGGAATATGGCTTCTCCCCGGTATGGATACGCATGTGAATTACAAGTTTGTCCTTACGAGCAAGACCTTTGCCACAGACGGTGCAAGCAAACGCCTTTGTCGCCGGTTCACCCGTATTGGTAGCCTTTGACGCAAATCCTGGGCGAGAAGTCACGTTGTTCGTTGTTCTTAATGGCTGATTCACCGTAGGAGCCCTGCTCCCGAACTGCTGATCCATCGCACCGGGAAACGGGGGCATCACACCACCAGGGCGCATTGCTGCTGAATAATCTGGAGACCTGTTTCAATTGCCATAACGTTATAAAATTTCAACCCCGGCAAATGCTGCGATATATATATATATATATATCTCCTATCCGAAGAAGTAGCACAGTAGTGCCATCTGTCTTGAAATTCGATAACACTACGTAAAAATAAACTTACCATGTCCCAATGGAGCGCAGCACTCGTACGCCATCGTCGTAGCCCAGACCATCGTCGGGTAAAGTAAAAGTTGGGTTAGGAGTCTGAGGTGTCGCAGGTGGACCGGGTCCAGCGAGCCTCGCTTGTGCAGCTTGTTGTGCCATGTGTTGCTGTACTGCAGCATGAGCCACTGCGTGCGCTTCCACATAAGCCGACCGCTGCTGTTGCTGCTGGCTACCATTAGACATCTTGTCCTTCTCTGTGCCCTGTAAATCATTTATTCGCTGATACATCCAACTTTCCACTAATATAAATTGTCCCAGGGACACGTTATTCTTGTAATTCGTAGAAAATTTATTTTCAACGTTAATTTCACGCGAGTCGTGCTTCGAGGCACACCTAGGACCCTGTTACAATTTCAAGCAGCTGAAAAGAGAGAATTGCCATGTAAAATTTGGAACTCGAATTTCTCGGAAACGTTCATATCGCAATTTATCGATACAATTGAGCAACATATGGATCACGCTTTCGACGATATCTCGGTTGTACAAAAATACTCGATTATGTGGGTGAATAAACTCGATTCGTATAGAAAAAGCGATTAAACACGAGATTATGTAAAAGCGTAAAAAAATGAGATTGCGGTTAATAAATTCATCATTAAGGCTGAAAAATTAAGTAATCTGGACGATGAATAAATATCGTACGATTTTCACCAATTAATTCTTCTTTGGTGCTCGAGATAATGGTAATTGCGTCCGCGAAAGTGCATATGAAAAACACGGTCAGAGATACAATACGTCAATGTGATTGTGAAATTGAAGGAAGCCTGTAGGAGCAAACAGCATTTCGCGACGTTTCTATCAATTCGCGCACAAAAGCGTAGCAGCTTCGAGGCCGATATGGGAAAACGATTAATCACGGGAACAGAGCTGAGCGGAGCGTGCACGAAGGCGCACTCGGTGCCAAATATCTATTAACGATAATCGATATTTACCAGAAACTCAGTTTCAAACAATTCTTCGACTAAATGGAACTTATTCGATCTCTTACGACTCGACATAAAACGCAATTAATGCCTCGCTCGAAATAACCATTGAAATACGTTAAATTTCCCAAAACTAAAAATTTCCTAGGGACATTTTTCAAACGAACCTTCCCAGAGCTCTTTATACAGCCGCTTAATCGTCTTAAACACTGACAAATTATTTTAAAAAATCGATAAAGTCATTCGAGGCCACCGAAGAAATTAAATTGTCAAAAAAAATTTTGAACGAATTTCCAAAATATCCTATATATCGAAAAAAAAAAACCGAAGTCGTGTGATCGTTTTGAAAAGTCGATCGTATAATACGAACATCGAACGTCTGACGTGCGGACATGCCGATATCGAAAGAAAATGGATGAAAATGGAAGAGGTATTACGAAGCATAGAAGATGTCGTGAAGAAATCTGAATTTCGTCCACGTGACGTTGGTTGGCGACACGAAGGTATCGCTGCGAACGGAGAGAACGGTGATATCGCGGAGAAGCATCACAGAAGCCTGTATCCCCTGGAGACGACATGGAATACATAAAAGACAGGGACTTTGGAAGGAACCGAAAAGATCTGTTCGCGTAGCCTGCTCCGTCAAGGTCCTCTGGGAAAGAACGATGACCGAAACGAGAGAGACAGGAAAGGAGAGTGAGGGAAGAACGACCGGGAAGAAGGGAAAGAAAGAAAGACAGAGAGAGACGGAGAAAGAAGTTAGCTTACAGAGAGGCAGACACGAAGGTTCCCACAAAAGACGGGCAAACGCTATCGGCCGATCTCCGGGCTCACGTACCTACACACTTTGTTCCCCTGCAGAGGCCGAGGAAAACCGCACGGTCCCGATCGACTCACTGGGTCGGATGTCCTCGAGGAACGATATCACTGAGAACGTCACAAGGCGAGCGAGTCAACGGCACATCACATCGGTGTCCATCTCGTAGTCACGCCGTAGTCGTTCTGTTGGGAGTTTCCGAAGTGGGTGAAAAAATTCGAACGACCACGAGGCTCGACGGAGGAGACTAGCCGAGAGCAGAGCACGCGAGGCTAGAGTCCGATAACGAGCCCGAACGCAATGACGACAATGAGAACGCGGCGGCCACGCGCGTTCCTTCTTTTCGCGACGCCACGAAAGAATCTCGCGTTTTACGGGGCAACCGGAGTGTGTCCCGCGGAGCTAGCCGCCGATTCCCGGCGCGGGAGGATGCAAGGACAAAGAGACGAAAAAACGTCTGGTCGAAGCAGAGGGGGTAGCCCTCTAGCGAGAGAGAGGGAGATACGGCGAGGGAAGGAGAATAGAGAGGGTAAGAAGAAGGAAAGAGAGCAGCGACCAGCCGGAGGAGAAAGAACGAGCTACGGTTCGAGGGAATGAGGAAAACGAAGACGGCTGAAGAAAAAACGGTAGAGGAACGGAGGGAAAGATAGAGAGAGAGAAAGAGAGAGAGAGAGAAAAGGAGAGTGGAGATAGCCGGTGACACACGGATGCAGCGCGGCGTAACGATATCGAGTGGAGGTCCCCGCGGAATGCACCGTGGCGACGTGCCGTGGAGAGGAAGACCACACAGGGTGCACCGATCGGAGGAAGACGAGACGAGGGGGAGGGGAAGAGGCAGGGAAATGGAACGGCGACACTCGGGTATAGAGTCAAGTATGCGCGAACTTGGCGTAAACGTTCTATTCGATCGGCGAGACTAAGCGCGTCCCGTTGTGCTGGCGAAATTGGCGCGACTAGGTGCGGGAACAAGCACCGAACGATACTGAACCGGTAGAAGGGAAAGAAGAATAGGCACGGGAGAAGCGATACGCGGACGAGACGGCGCGGTGCAACGATATCGAGTGGAGATCCCCGCGGAATGCATCGTGGCCGGCGCGACGACGAGAACGCGAGAGGGAGCGAAATGGAGAGAGAAAAACAGAGAGAAAAACAGAGAGAAAAAGAAGGGGCGACAGAGGGAGCGAGAAAGAGGGAAAGAAGGAAGGGAAAAGGAGAGAGAGATAGATGGACGGCTAGAGAGAGAAAGACAGGGACGCCCTAGAGAGGCAAGTATGCGCGCGAAGAGACCTTCGTGTATACCTTGTGTCGTATACACAGACTACCGAGTCACTCGCTTGCCGGATACACACAATGACGGAAGAGAGTAGCGTAGCAGCAGTCGACGGCGGCGTCGGCGGCGGCGCTCTGCAGTGCGTCGGCCCGCTGACCTTGACACTGACATTGACTGAGCGAGCAACTGAGAGAGAGAAAGAGTAGAGAAAGAGAGAAATAGAAGCGGCAGACGAGGAGACAGAGAGACCAAAGGAAAGACGTATCGTTGGACGGTACTACACGCGATTAGGCGAAACTAAACGCGATACGAAACGCGACCAGCCACCTCCTAGCAGTACAAGAGTACCGTTCGCTTCCTCTGCTTTCTTTGCTCCCTAGCTCTCCTCGGTTGACCGCATCAACGATCAACCGGGTAACGAGACTTCGTCGACCGTTTACGACGGGGTATTCCAGACCTCGAAACAGGTTTTCAGAGGTGCAGGCCTGCTCCTCGTTGCACCTGTGCCCGGGACAAGGAGATCCAACGGGCCAACCGGCAGGGGAGGGGATGGAACAATCTTGGATTGGGGAGCGACGAGACGCGTAGCGGGACAGAGACAGAGGGCAGCAGGTGAAAGAAGGACGGAAGGGTAGAAAAGACGAAGGCAAAGGCGAGAAGGGAACGGAGACGTGGAACTCGCGAACGAAAGGGAGAGAAAGAGGGAACTAGGCGAGACGTCGAAGAAAAGGAGAACTGACTTTCGCTTTCTGTGCGCGACGCAGCCTAGCCGTGGAGCGTCGATCAATAGCGCCGCGACGGTTGCACACACACACACATACACACACACACGCACACACACACACATGCGTGCCTTTTACAAACCCTCTATCCCGGCTGCTCGCGTGATCTGTCTCTCTTTTGCCCTATCTGTTCATCCGTGTCTGCTTATCTGTATATTATCCCTACCACCCAACCTCCCTGCACGAGCAGTCGCGTGTGTGAGGGTGGAATTATTGGGATCATGCTTCGTTGGCCAAGCAAGCGTTACAAAGGAGAGACAGAGACAGAATCAAGGACCTCGAGCTACCGATCAGCGACGCCCCTCCTTCCCCTTCCAACCACCGGCCAGTTGCACGGTTTCGCATGGCCCCCCCCTCTCTCTCATTGTCGTTCTCTTTCTCTGCGGTCTCGCGCGCGCGTTCGCCCGCTTATCGAGCAGTACAGGCGAAATCGGCACGAAAGAAGGTGGAACGGAGAGACAACGGAGAGAGGTGGTAGAACGCGAGCGCGTGTCGCGTAAAGGGCTTTTTACGCGGCTCGAAATGTGGAACTCGTGTCGGCCACCCATTCGACGCATAAAGTCACTTTAACGCGTCATGTCGGAAATTGCCGCGCGAGTTTACGAGCTTGTAAAGAGTCTCTGGTACTTCCTAGAATACGTACGACCCCGACGTACGGGGATACCCCGATTCCTCCTGGCTATTCGTGTCCGGCTTGCACAACGATAAATTTTCCAACGCCGCCCTGAAAAAAATACCCCACCTCTCTCCGTCTCCCTCTCTCCCCCCGCCTCGTTCTCTCGCTTTCTCTCTCTCTCGCTCTCGCTGCCTCCGCGAGATACCGTGAGCTTTATGTCAGACCTTTAATCTACCTTTATTAAGCGCGCTGTCTCCTCCATTTGTAAGGCACTTGCTCCCAGTCGTAAACCACGTGCTCGCAAGGACCTTAAACGCGTCTGATGTCTCGTGAAATCAATTAGGAGCAAATAAACCGGTGCCCCGTAAACAAGTATTCCTACGAGTCGCGAGTTTCTTGCTATATTTAGCGGTAACGTTATAAATATACTTTTAGCCAGCCTTCTTGTTTTTAAACGTACAGGCGTTCCATTCATATCAGGGGGCAAGGATACGCGAGTCGATTTTCCTCTTTGTAGAGGAAAGCAGGATTATATTGGTTAGCAATGACGAGGCGAAATTTCTGGACAAAAGCGACGGTAACACGTTACGCGGAAATTAAGCGTTTAAATTTCGCCGCCATTTACAACGGCCATGTTTAACGCCTTGATTGGTGTTGGTCAACAAATTGGATCGAGGTGACGAAATAGGTTATATATATTTCCTCGATATTGAGAATGCCAAAGGAAGAGTAATATATATTGTGAATATGAATTCTTAGGATTTTTTGAACACGTGTTCTAGGAAAATAAATTTATATTATATTGAAATTAGTTTTGTCAACAATGTAGCATAGTTGAATTATGTTTTTGTGAAATTTGCATAAACACTGATACGTTAACCGAAAATAGTAGTATGTTATAAAAATAATTTATCGAAGATAAAGATAAATTAAATCAAAGATGATATTGCAAAGGAGAAAACGTTTATCCAATTTTTGTTTATTAAATTTGATAAGTGTTCCAAAATTATGATTATACTTGTGAAATATGCTATTTTTAGAATGATGAAAATAAAAAATACGGATTATTTAGTTTTAATTATCACGTATTTTGAATAACAATTTTAAATACTATTTTTGCTTGTCTTATGAAATATGTAAATAATATACTAAAATTAACCCATATTTTATTAAACATTTTACAAGCAGAAGCTTTTAAATAAATCATTTGATTTATATAAAATTTAAAAAATAAAAAGGAATTTGTTTACATTACACAAATCAAAGTTAATTTATCATCTGTTGATATTACATGGCAAGATAAATTTATTTAACTATTTGCTCACGAAACATCTTGAAAAAGAGAGGTAAAAAAGTTGTATAAACTTACCTGGTTTACCGATGCAGCAAGATGTTTCAAACTATCCGCGTAATTTTTCAACACCGTGTCCGTCGTCATGCAGCTCACTCGAAACTCGTAAAACATATCCAGTTTGTATACGCATCTCTGGCAAATATTTTTGGGCAACGCATCCTCTTTCGTTATCTGCAAAAAATTTAACAATTTATGTTTTATTGTGGAAAATAGGACTTCCAAGTATATCGTTAAATAAAATAAAATTTATGAAATAAAGGTATATTAATATTTCTTTACCAAAAATGATTAAATTATTAAAATTTTATTTTATACATAAGATTGTTCATTCCATGTAGTATCGTTTTCAATTATCTATTAATTTTATTATTAGCAAAGAATTATAATAAATTGGAAATCGATTTATACGAATTCTGATGTAAACATAGTTTATCATAACCTCAAATGTAAATTTTATTTTTGTTAACTTGATATATAGGTTAAAGTGTAATCATTTAAAATTCGTGTAAATTTGTAAATTGAAAAACTAAATTATTATGACAGACCATTTGCAGAGTAGAGTTTGAGTCTTCTTTTTATATGATTAATGGAGGTTTATATCGTCTTATAAACTTCCTTGTTACACACTTCAATCAACATTCTAATACAACATGAACTTGTATTAGTAAAAGTAGAAAAGTGTGTTTCACGATTACAAATTTTCAACATCTCTTATGTATACGCTTTCAAAGAAACTTGTAAAGCTATCTATTAGACAAACGGCAGATAAATTCAACAATGAAAGATTGTAAATACAGAGAAATTTCTCAGATATAAAGTGGAATGCAGGAAATTATTTTAAAAAGCAATTGTCTCTGCTCGCCTTCCTTGTCGAAGATCTGAAGCTGATGATTACTTTTTAACGAGCATAATCTACACAGTTCAGCGAAGTTGAAATCTTCGTTCATTGCCATTCTTACGATTCACGATTAAACACAAACGCTGGACAATTGTTAGGTTATGCTGTCTGTAAAGTTTATTTTACGCACTCTTTCGATCCAGCAAAGATTACTATAAACGTGGCACGAAACTACGATTTACGAGCGTGTCGACAAACAAAAATTGTTCAACTTATGGTAAACGTTAAAAAACTACAAATGTCTAACAAAATTAAAGTAACGCCACCATTTCTTTCTTCCCGTTTCGCTGTTGTCCAGCGTGCAGGATGCTCGACTCCACATTGTTCGACGCTAGACCATCTGGTGGGTGGAGGAGAAACTAATGAAGGGTTGTGTCTGATGGTAAAACAGTTTTGAACATGAATAAGAGAAATAAAAATATTTTCCAAAATTTGATTTACTCTTATTTCAAATATTAAAAAAATTTATATATACATACAGAAGATATTTAAAAAAATATTACATTATTTTCTACAAAAATTGCAAATTTATAATAATATTTTAAATTGCATTATTAAACATTCTCTTTAATAATCCAGTCTTAAATTTATTAAATATTTGATATAAAAGAAACAATAACACTATTATTATAAAAATTTTAATATGCATACCATATATTTTATATGTATATAATACAATAAAAATTAATAAAAATATTATATTTTAATAAGTCATGGTAGTTATATCAAAATATACATAATACTTGTACTGGAAAATGCTTTTATGTTGTGAAATTAATTATTATTTAAAAAATATTTGGACGTGATTATGAAAGTAATATCATTAATATTAATATTACGATTAAAATATTGATTACAACTAAAGAACAGTATGTGATAAGAAGACTCATTTATATTATGCTATTTAATACGCAAATAATTTATGTAGTAGCTTATGTTGGTAACATAAATTCACGTGACATAACTGCACGAATGCATTATTCATTAATATCGAAAGCTGGAAACATTATGAGTTTCAGTTCAAGACTAGAATATATGAGAAGCTTCATCGGGGTTCCATTCTGCGAAATAAATTAGTTTATATAAGAAATCAAATATGGCGGGAGTTACCGATAAATTGTGCGTTTAAATGTATTCTAACATAAATATCATTTCGTTTAATATTATTCAAAATTCTAAAGAAATTATAAAGCGAGACTTCTCAAACTATAATATATAATTATAATTATCAAATTATGTATTGCTATCGTGTGTGTGCAGTTGTGTGGATTATTTTCGGTATATATACGATTATAACGCGAACCTTTCGACATGGCATCGTGAAAGAAATACTTACGGTAAATTGCATTATGTATTAATATTATTAAGTTAGTAATTTAGGTATTTGAGTTTGTGTATTAATATTATTAAGTCACTATTAATATTATTTTTATTATTGAGTCACTATTAATATTATTAAGTTTCATTTAGGTATTATTAATATCATTAATTTTTATTATTTGAGTTTATTTATTAATATTATTAAGTCACTATCATTATTACTATTATTATTGAGTCACTATTAATATTATCAAGTTTCATTTAGGTATTACTGATATCACTAATTTTTATTATTCGAGTTTATGTATTAATATTATTAAGTTACCATCAATATTATTATTATTGAGACACTATTAATATTATTAAGCTTCATTTAGGTATGATTAGTATCATTAATTTTTATTTTTACTGGAAAACTGAATTATTGCATACTCTAGAAGAAAAGAAAATAAATAAAAATTTAGACATTGGGTTTCCATGATTTAATTTACTTCAAAGTTGTGTTATTTTTAAATCAGGTCGAATATAATATTATTAGATGGTACAGATTATCTTTATTTGGGATTTATAATATATTATAGTATAATTTAGAACATATTATCGTAATAGAATATATTAATATAATCTTCAAGTACGATTAATGTAACATAATTTATTACTTTTATTTACTATTGAGACTGTAATTTCTAAATCTTATAAAACACTTTGTATTCTAATATTAATATCATGTTAATTATATTTTATAATACCACAATTTCCAGTTTCTGCCACTTAATGGGGACGGAGAGACTTACGATGCATGGGTATCACCTATGCATTTAACTTTTGCCTGTTATTTGTTCAATGTTACGAATCCCGATGAAGTAATGCGAGGAAGTTATCCAAATTTGGCCGAAGTTGGTCCAATCACATACGAGTGAGTAACAAATTTAAAGAAATATTTTTATACTAAATTTCATCTGCATAGCAATATACAATATATAACTGCGTTATTATCAACATATTCCAAATTTATATTTGTCAACATATAATTTAAAGAATATTATATCATACTTATACCACATTTAAAAATTTATGTGAATGATACATATTTTAACAATATTTTAATAGTACTCTGTAATGAAAACAATACTCATTAGTATTATCGTAATTAATATTTAAAATACGTACGTAGTAAAAATTTCAGTTTATTAGGTATTTTGATATTTATTGGCCTTTATTAATTTTTATTTCCACATTTATACGTTTAGTGAAATATACGAGAAGCAAGTGATGAGCGTGGACGAAGAGAGCGATGAAATTACATATATAACAAGATCAACGTACACTTTTAACAAGTATTTAAGTCTGAACATAACTAAGCGAAACAAAATTAACATATTAAATCCTGCATACATTGGTACCATTTCCATGGTAAGTTTAATTCCATACGATTGTTAAATAAAATTAAAAAATCAATTTGCCACTTTCATAATTATTTAATATTTTCTCAATTATAATATTAATTTTCAAATAGTGATTTAAATACTGATAAAATTGTTTATATTATTCTAATAATTAAATACTAATAAAAATTTTCATATTATTCTAATAATTTTATTAATTAGAAATACAAGTACAGAAATATTTGATCAATTTTTTAAATCTCTGAAAATAAAATCCTCGTAACAATTATGATAATTAATATATTATATATGAACATATTAATATCTATGTAACAGTAATAATTTTCAAATTAATTTTTAAGGTATCCAAAAATATAATCTTGGTGCAATTAGTATCATATTATTACATCAGTATTAATACAATACTTAAGTATTAATAATACATATAATTGTGTTCCCATAGCTATCTAGTTTACCTCCCGACATCATGAAGAGATATGGTAATGACATACCGAAATTATTTCCAAACAGAAGTAGCATATTTCTAAAAGCCAGTCCTATGGAAATTCTTTTCGACGGAGTTAAAGTTTCGTGCAACTTAAAAAAATTCCCTGAGTTGGATATGGTATGCAAAACGTTGATAAGTAATCCTCCACCTGTCTTGAGGGAAACCGACAGAGAGGGCATATATCTTCTCAGTATTTTCCAGAGGGTAGGATCTAAATTCGTATAAAACCTAAGAATGAGAATTAAAAAGATACCTTCCAATCTCCAAAATTTAATTTTGTTTAAAAAATATTGGTATTAGATTTTTGTAAGAATTCCAAATGTCTCAATAATAATAATATTTAAAAAATTTTTCTCTTTACAATTCCTGCAAATTATAGCATCTAAAAATATAAGAAAAAGTAGTTTAAATTTTAATAATGATATTTAAAAATTTGTCACTTTAGCATTCCTGAAAATTAAACAATATATATTCTTGAAAATATAAAAGTGTAAGAAAAAGTAATTTAAATTTTAATAATGATATTTAAAAATTTGTCACTTTAGCATTCCTGAAAATCAGAAAATATATATTCTTGAAAATATAAAAGTATAAGAAAAAGTAGTTTAAATTTTAGTGCAATAATTGAGTAAATTTGTCATAATTAAAATTTAGTATTATAATTTAAGTAAATGTTTCAATTTTAATTTCCTTATTTTCCAGATGAATTATACTTTTCGTGGACCATTTTCTGTCAATAGGGGTCTGAAAGATATAACTAGATTAGGTGACATAACGTCATACAAAGGGAAAAGGGTACAAACATTGTGGAGCTCTGATAGTTGTAATACAGTAAGAGGCACTGACACCATCACTTGGGCGCCATTGGTAGAACCTCTTCCTTTTGTTTCAACATTCGTGCCAGAGTTATGCAGGTATAGTGATCTCATTCTTACAGGTAGTTAAAAACACTCATCCTCTTAGGATAAGATCAAAAATTATTGAATATTCCATTGAATATTGTTAAGTTAAAAATTTTTCATTTCATACCACATCTTGATGACATCCCATTTTATCTCCTCAGATAAAAATCTCAGGACACTTTCAACAATAATTTGTTATCTCGTTTTCATTTTTAGCCTAATTACATAATTTTACTTTAATCTTTATTTAAAAGACAATTTCAGAATACAACAAACAATAAAAGGTAGTTTAATATAAAAATTGAATATTGCTGATGACATTTCATGACCAACACTGTCTTGCATTGGCCGATTTTAATTTTTATTTGGAAGTCATTCGAAGATCATTTAAACGTCCCTCCAAATTTGCTTTGAAATAATTCCAGGATTATGGAAGGTCATTCAAGGATTACTTTACTTCACGAAATATTAAGATAATTTCAGAATTATTGGAGATCACCTGAAAACCATTTTAAGTCACATCAAAGTCATTCGAAGGTCATTTCAAAAGTACTCGAAGGCCATTTAAATCTCCAAGTTCACATTGAAATAATTCTAAGATTATCGAAGGTCACTCAAGGATTACTTTAGTATACAAAATATTAAGATAATTCCAAAATCATTGATGATTACTTAAAAGCTATTATAAATCACATCATGGTCATTCGAAGATCACTTTAAAAGTACTCGAAAGCCATTTAAAGTTCCCTAGAATATCCCCTGCAAGTTCACTTTGAAATAATTCTAAGTTTATCAAAGGTCACTTAAAGATTACTTTAGTATACAAAGTATTAAGATAGTTTCAAAATCATTGAAGCTTACCCAAAAGCTATTGTAAATCACACCAAGGTCATTCGAAGGTCACTTCAAAAGTACTCGAAGACCATTTAAAGCTTCCTAGAATTTTCAATAAAAGATTCTCTATGAGTTACTCGTAGATTATTTTAAGATCTTTTAAAATTGAATTACACAAAATTCACCTGATAGTCATTTGAAGATCATTGCTTGTAAAAGGACACGCACAATACTATTCAAAATTTGGACACGTCCTTAAAATAATACAAAACGAATGTACCCTCAACAAACCTGTTTCATAAATCGCAACACTTCGCATAACACCTTCCATGAATGCTGCCATCTTCGTCCCAATCACTTCCTCAAATTATTCGACACAATTGAAAAACAATACTTATTTTCACATAAGACACTCGTCTATGTATTCGTAACACACGGACGTTATCGAAATACACAGGACAGTAGAAGCAGATTACGAGGACGAAGTCTCGATACACGGTTTAACCGGATCGCGATTCGTGATGAAGGAGAGGACATGGCTGAAGAACGAAACCGAGTGTTACTGCGTGGAGGTGAACCATGTTCCACAGTGTCTGCCACAAGGTTTAATCGACGTCACGGAGTGTCAGGTAATTTCACGAGGCAATGAGTCTCTTCTGGTTTAACATTGGATACCTTGCAGGGCGTACCGGTGATCTTGTCAGAACCGCACTTCCTACATGGAGACCCGCAGCTGCTCACCTATGCACAGGGCTTAAGTCCCGATGAGAGCGTACATGGGACTTACATCGTGATCGAACCGTACACTGGGACACCTCTCTCTGGGGAGAAGAAGACACAATTGAACCTGGAGCTGAAGAAGCAGCCAGTGAAGTTGCTGTCGAATGTCAGCGAAGGGTTCTTTCCCCTTATGTGGTGCGGAAATGTGAGCTCTTTTCTGAAAATTATTTATCAATTTTGCTTTGGCCTCTTTCAGCCTTGCTTCGTATGCGTGGTTTATGTGATTGCAACTGGGGAATTCGATTCAGAATACAACAAACAATAAAAGGTAGTTTAATATAAAAATTGAATATTGCTGATGACATTTCATGACCAACACTGTCTTGCATTGGCCGATTTTAATTTTTATTTGGAAGTCATTCGAAGATCATTTAAACGTCCCTCCAAATTTGCTTTGAAATAATTCCAGGATTATGGAAGGTCATTCAAGGATTACTTTACTTCACGAAATATTAAGATAATTTCAGAATTATTGGAGATCACCTGAAAACCATTTTAAGTCACATCAAAGTCATTCGAAGGTCATTTCAAAAGTACTCGAAGGCCATTTAAATCTCCAAGTTCACATTGAAATAATTCTAAGATTATCGAAGGTCACTCAAGGATTACTTTAGTATACAAAATATTAAGATAATTCCAAAATCATTGATGATTACTTAAAAGCTATTATAAATCACATCATGGTCATTCGAAGATCACTTTAAAAGTACTCGAAAGCCATTTAAAGTTCCCTAGAATATCCCCTGCAAGTTCACTTTGAAATAATTCTAAGTTTATCAAAGGTCACTTAAAGATTACTTTAGTATACAAAGTATTAAGATAGTTTCAAAATCATTGAAGCTTACCCAAAAGCTATTGTAAATCACACCAAGGTCATTCGAAGGTCACTTCAAAAGTACTCGAAGACCATTTAAAGCTTCCTAGAATTTTCAATAAAAGATTCTCTATGAGTTACTCGTAGATTATTTTAAGATCTTTTAAAATTGAATTACACAAAATTCACCTGATAGTCATTTGAAGATCATTGCTTGTAAAAGGACACGCACAATACTATTCAAAATTTGGACACGTCCTTAAAATAATACAAAACGAATGTACCCTCAACAAACCTGTTTCATAAATCGCAACACTTCGCATAACACCTTCCATGAATGCTGCCATCTTCGTCCCAATCACTTCCTCAAATTATTCGACACAATTGAAAAACAATACTTATTTTCACATAAGACACTCGTCTATGTATTCGTAACACACGGACGTTATCGAAATACACAGGACAGTAGAAGCAGATTACGAGGACGAAGTCTCGATACACGGTTTAACCGGATCGCGATTCGTGATGAAGGAGAGGACATGGCTGAAGAACGAAACCGAGTGTTACTGCGTGGAGGTGAACCATGTTCCACAGTGTCTGCCACAAGGTTTAATCGACGTCACGGAGTGTCAGGTAATTTCACGAGGCAATGAGTCTCTTCTGGTTTAACATTGGATACCTTGCAGGGCGTACCGGTGATCTTGTCAGAACCGCACTTCCTACATGGAGACCCGCAGCTGCTCACCTATGCACAGGGCTTAAGTCCCGATGAGAGCGTACATGGGACTTACATCGTGATCGAACCGTACACTGGGACACCTCTCTCTGGGGAGAAGAAGACACAATTGAACCTGGAGCTGAAGAAGCAGCCAGTGAAGTTGCTGTCGAATGTCAGCGAAGGGTTCTTTCCCCTTATGTGGTGCGGAAATGTGAGCTCTTTTCTGAAAATTATTTATCAATTTTGCTTTGGCCTCTTTCAGCCTTGCTTCGTATGCGTGGTTTATGTGATTGCAACTGGGGAATTCGATGTTATACCAGTTTAATATCGAGGAAGTTGGGTCTCGTAATTAGTAAATATGCTGACGACAATGAATGTGAGTCAGATTAATATTCGATAGTTTGATATGGTTTGGGAAAGTATTATGGAAATTTTTGAAATGATAAGTGATAATTGAAATTTTTAATTAAAATTGTGGAATTTAGTGTAATACAGGAAGTTTAATATTGTAATCAGTAAATATGCTGGCGACAACAAATGTGAGTCAGATTTACGTTTGACAGTTTGATAAGGTTTGGGAAAGTATTATGGAAATTTTTGAAGTGTTAAATGATAATTGAAATTTATAATTGGTACTGGGGAATTTGGTGTTATACCAGTTTAATATCGAGGAAGTTGGGTCTTGTAATCAGTAAATATGCTGACGACAATGAATGTGAGTCAGATTAATATTCGATAGTTTGATATGGTTTGGGAAAGTATTATGGAAATTTTTGAAATGACAAGTGATAATTGAAATTTTTAATTAAAATTGTGGAATTTAGTGTAATACAGGAAGTTCAATCTCACAATCAGTAAATATGCTGACGACAACGAATGTAAATCAGATTAACGTTTAACAGTTTGATAAGGTTTGGGGAAGTATTGTGGAATTTTTTGAAGTGTCAAATGATAATCGAAATTTTTAATTGGCACTGTGGAATTCAGTGTCATACCGGAAGTTAAATCTCGCAATCAGTAAATATGTTGACGACATTGAATATGAGTTAGATTAATGTTCAACAGTTTGATAAGGTTTGGGAAAGTACTGTTGAATTTTTTGAAGTGTTAAGCGATAATTAATAAAATTTTTATTTTCTAATGGTTTTAAATGAAGATTGAAATTTGAAGCTTTTAAGAATTTTGCATTATAACTGAAATTTAAGACTTCTAGTAATTTTTTTATTATAAATGATATTTAAAGCTTGAAGTAAATTTGAATGGTAATCTGAATTTTAAGGTTTCAATAGTTTTAAATGAGAATTGTAATTTATAACTTTTAGGAGTGTTACATGACAATTAAAGTTTATAGCTTTTAGAAATTTCTCAAATTTTCAAACAATAGGATTTTAAAGCTTCTGATAATTTCAAACGTTAATTAAAATTAATACTTTTTGGTAATTTGAAACGATTTCTGAAATTTGAAGCTTTAAATAATCTTGAATTATGATTTGCTGATATGCTAATTAACCGACTCTCTGGAGTGACTATAATTTATCAGCAAATCAAACACGTCCTATAAGTTACTTGTTAAAGTGGTTAATGGAAATTACAATAGTAGTTCTAATATCAAAAATATTATTTATTGATGCAGTATACGATATCAAGGAATCATAATTTTATTAAAAATAGACATACTGATTCAAGATATTTTATTCCATCTTCTGATCTTAAAAAGAATCTGATCTTTTGTCATCTTATGTACCATAAGATTCTGGCAAAACAATCGAGCAAAATTATACATTTTTTTCCGAACAAGTTGATCACGATTGTTTCTTGTGTAATATGCAAATTACTCCAATACTGACGAAAAAATTAATTACATAAATTTGACAATTATTTTACAGGGTAACACGCCATCGTTGTCTATAATAGGGTTAACCTATCAAGTACATCGTTTGATACAGGTTATAAGTTACTTGGATATAGTTCCCCTGATGATCGGAATTCACATGGCTCTGATGACTACGCTTTATTGTAATTGCACGAGACGCAAAGTACAACCTACAGTTTCGATCGCAGATTCGTTGTTAATATCGTCGAATTCACAGTCGAATAATAGCACACATAGACCTAGACGACAAGCCGTACAGGCATTCGAGCAATTTTAACACTGGAATTATTATCATAAACGAATCAGAATGGTCGATTTCAAATATTTTAATTTTTCCTTGCTTAAGACATGCAGATACTCCTGATAAAATTAATTTTGACTTCTATTTGGACTGAAACATATGTATATGTCGTGTCTGTGCTTGTAAGAATAAATATTGCAGGTCACAATTTAAAAAACACTTTAATTATCAATTAGAATTATTATTATTATTAGAATTAATTATTAATTAGAATTAAAAAATTTGAATTGCAATTTTTAAGAATTCTGGCTCATTCGTTAGTTGGCTCTTGATACATATTTATTTGGTTCGCATATTTATGAGAAAAAGCATGAAAAAAGAAATTATGCAATTTATGGAAATAAATAAAAATGAATAAATATATATCTCAAAAATGAAAATACGTGATATGCAGCGTTTTTCTTTACAACCACAGATATTCTTTCTTCTAGTTTTAGCAAATGTATACTAATCTCAAACAACGAAATTAAAAATGATAATGAAAGAAATTATAAATTCGACATTAGAGATCCATGCTAGATCTTGATGGGAAAATTTATGTGCATCTGGTAATAGTTTTGTATTTTACAAATTACAAAATGATGTTAAACTACGTTAAAACGCTATACTTCACTTACAACGCGATTTCCTTCAGTACAATTCCAAAATTGGAGAAATTTTACAAAACATTCAACGAATAATACTTTTTCATTATTTATAGATCGTTTTAACAAATACATTTGCCACAATCGCGACAAGAAAATGCTATATTTCTCTTCAATTCTGGAACTTAACCTCACTTTTCTCATTTCACGCGGGACGCCATTTTTATGATACTTTCACCACGTTATATAAGATGGTAATGACAATTTCTTTACAATATTCACGACATTAGAGCAACAATTTTGTTAATTAAATTAACTTAAATTAACAATGGTTTTATTTTTAAAAAATATTGTTTTTCAAAGAGATATGTCAAACATCTCCCATAACTTCGTTACAAAGAAGCTTCGCATAACAAAAGATCTATAATAATTTAATAACTTGAATTCAATAATCAGCTTAAAAATTACAGGTTATTTAGAAAAAATATTATATAGAGATTTAATGTCTTCGTACAGTGGCACTAAATTTACAATCGATATTACACGCTATTTACTGTATCCTTGCAATTTAATATAGCAGCGATCGCATTTGTTAATTAGGTTTAGCCAAAAATATTATGTTATTTATACAAATTTATACAAAGTAAACGAGCAAACTTCTGTTTTATTTGTACAATCCAATAAATAATATTTGTCCCACTTTTCCTCGGAAGTTCACTGCAATTTTGAAATGCGATCACTACTACATTAATGTTATCGTTAACTTAATCAATCACTTAACACGCCATTTTTCCACAACTTCGAAAATAGAAGTTATTTCTCCGCATTTTATATTTACAATAAATATAAAATAACTTATCTATTCAGTTCGGAATTATATTTCTTCCGTGTATTAAAAATTAACGTAACAACGATCAAAATTAATTACAATATTTCATTGTATTACAAAAGATTCTTACATGTAAGGTAGAAATAAATACACAATGTACACGAATACTCTTAAAAATAAATACTCTATCGCAGCGTGGCTCGTGTCAATAATAACTGTATCAAAATGGCTGTACAAATCTTTAAGTCTTAAAAAACAAATATCTAGTTTTAACAATTTTAACACGTGCACAGGAGCCAGAATTTCTATTACTCTAACACGAAATACTCGGACAACTTATTTTCGTACAAAATCTACTTCTGTATCGTCAAATCTTGTATACGTGATTCGTTTGTAAGTTCTATAAAATTTTTCCAAAATTTTCTCACTTTTCGAACACGTATCACATATATTTATTAGGATTAAAAACATACACAGTGAACGTGTTAATCCATTAAGGACGAATGCCTTTAATATATGTGGCATAATACTTTGAGTTATTGTGACAGAATATAATTTTAATATTTTAATCATTATTCTTTTATTTAACACGTTGGCCACTATGCGAATTATCAATAGTTGGCATTCGATTTGCCAGTGTCGCCGCGCAGCGGTGGTTATCGGTAGCTTGCGATGCTGAGGTTAGCAAAAGAATTTAATTGAAATAAATGGTAATAAAGAATTTTCCTATGTCGTCCTTGTTATTCAAATAATCTATAACGAATCATGGTACATGTTTAAATAACTTTGTTATTTGTTATTCCGTTGTTTTCTAATAAAACAAGATACTCGTTATAATATTTACTATGGTGACAGTAGCCATTTTGGCGACGTCGAGAATAATAAAAGAATTTAACCTAGGTAAAGCGTAATATTTATAAAAATTTCGATACCGTCGTTATTATTACAACGATGTAAGGAAATTATCACATCATGGAGTATATTTAAATAATTTTATTTTTAACTCCATGTGTATATATTATTAGCGTATATTAGGATGTGTGTGATAAAACAAAAGGCTTATTTCATCTTCGTAAGCAAGTTATATACAGTGTGTTTATTTTATCTGAGAACGTGTAAATACTATGAAGGACGTGTTTAAATGTTTACGCATAAATCTATATATTTGTTATTGCAAATTTTATAGCTAACATTAAATTATTTCTAAAATTACAATTATTTGTGAATATTTAATTTTCATATGCCATCATTTGTTCTGGAACCATTGATACAGTAGTCTGACAGAACAACCTAATCAATAGAGTTTAGGTACAGTTTAGTTAACTATAATTATGATAATATGTCGACCTTCACACTTCGTATCTCGATAATGATCGATAATCGATCTATAAAAATATTTAATGAAAAATATAAGATCTTCAATGTCATTACAAAGTTAAATGAATATTATCATTACATATTCTCTTGATATTCTACGATATTTACTTGAAGTAATTTTCTATATCACGCATATGTATTTTTAAATGTATTTACACGTCTGCAGATAAAAATGAACGTACTGTAGAACTGATCTAGCAGTCAACGTGTTAAAAGTGACACAGTTCGTTATGTTCTATGGTTTCCTACATATCCTGTACACCATTTTCTTTTCACTTGCTCCTTTCTTAATACTTCTTGTCCATCAGGATTAATGTAATCAAGTCTTTCTTCCGTATAAATACGCTTATCGCTTCAACGATACAGTTCGATTATCTCTACGATGGAGATCCATGAACCGAACACTAGCGCTATGAGGGAGAGCAACACAAGCGAAGAGTTCTTCCAAAGCCTCCAGTTGTACTTACCCAGATGGCCGTACCAGCGCGAAACCGTTTCTAGCACTGCTGGGATCGTGATGCCCAGGATGGAAAAACATACTGATCCGACTAGGGAAATAAACGGTCCCAGGTCCGGAACTAATAATGCCACAAAAACTGGAAGAAAAAGAAGGGAAAGTTATAGCGTAACCAAGTGTTATGCATCGAGGTAAGATATTGGGGAAATTTTTGACAATACTCGGGATAATACGTATTTTAATCGTGAACCAAATACATACGTAAACGAACTCCCGAGAGAAAAATTTAGAAAATATAATTTAGAATTTAAAAATATAATTTGAATTATATTTTAAATTTTTATTAAAATAGATGAATTTTACGAAATAATTATATTTTCTAAATTAAAATATAATAAAATTAAAATAGTAATAATTCAAATAATAATTCAATTTATATTTTCTAAATTCTAAATTATAAGAGCAGCTGCTCTTGGCAAAATTACAGTTGATTTCTTTTTTATTGTGAAAAAATTGGGTACACCTATTTATTTTTGTAGTAATAGGGTTAAACGAGTGTTAAATGAGATATTAGGTACTAGAAAAATGGAATTTTTGTTTAATTATACTAGTTTCATAGTATAGCTAGTTTTCGTGATATAATAATATCTATAATATCTCGAATATCTACAATATAATATATCTATCTCTATAATATCTCGAAATAATTTTAATTCATTCTGGTTTGCGTAAATTATTTAAAACATATAATATAATTGCATAGATATAGTTTATAAAAATAAAAAGGGAAAAGAATAAATTATTATTAGCTTCATATAATTAATTTCCCCTTCATTAATTTTAGTTTATTCCAGCCTATATAAAATTATTATTATTAAAAATATCGATACGTAATATAGTTTATTGTATATTAGTATTAATATTGGTACTAATTTCTCCATAGTGTTACTTAAAATTTATCATCTTATCATCAACTATATAAAATATTCATAATTATTCAACAAATAAAAGACGAAGACAAATACCAATCTCAATTTTATGACTTAATTTCGATAAAATTAAAAAGTCAGCGATTATCTAACAAATGAAACACGAATACTCGGAAAAGATCAGAACAGATAACTATGGTATTAATCTCACGTGAAACCGATCACGATTGAAGAAAACACCCGTATAACATCCTCGTTACAAAGCTAACCAAGCATTAGAAAGCGAATGATCAGCGAGAATATAAATTGTTACGTCGAAAAACATCACTAGACCGCGTGCCGAGCGCCCCCCACCACTGGGCAGGTTGAGTAACATCGCAGTCGAAAGGAACTATATTGCCTCGACCATACGGAAACAGATGCTGAACCCTTGAAACGCCAACAACGTAAACAAGGACGCGAATATCGAGCTGGTGGATGCTCAATGAATCAAATGAGCACGAGTCATTGAACGGTGCTCACGGTTAGCAGTGAGTCATGCGGTTACAGAACCAACGAGTATTTCCCGGGATATGTCTATCTTCCTACTGCGTATTTCTCTCTCTTCTATAGGAAAGTAAGGCACGTGACCGGTGCACGCTCAGCGTGAACCGGTAATAACCGGAAGGCTAATCGAGCCAGCTATCTCGTGAATATCAAAACGCTAGTCGTTTTATTGCGCCATGGATCTGGTAATAAAAACAAATTGCTACGAAAACAAAACATTGCGAAGTAAACGACAGTAATTATGCGTGAATTAATCGCATCTGAGATTTAATATGTGCAATCTCACGATGTGCACGCGGTGTCTCGAGTTTTTCCCGTGGAATGTAAACGGTGGGTTTCGCGAATTAATAGAGAAGTATTAATGATAATGACCACCTCGCGAGACAAATTTGCGTTAATGATACCGCGAAGATAATATTACGTGTACAGTAAGAAGAAAATTCCAGGATTATATCAGTGAAATTAGAAAATAATTCGACGATATACGCGATATTTACGATGCATCAATCGTATTGTAGATACGAACCGTGGTGGCGCTAGTGAGTTAAGTGGAAACCTTAAGACTATCTGAAAACCCTTATTTGTAAAAGGGTTAATGGCTCGTCCTTGAACATATTTTTGCTATAGCATCATAACAATTCTAAGCTTTTTCACTGTAAAATCGCTTACATTTTTCACGATAAATTAAAATAAAAAAGAAAATCGTGTATAAATTGTCATATATATATATATTATTGTCTAACTATAATTATTATTATCTCTCATTAGAATTATGGTGTCAAATATATTAATAATAATCGAGTGTTGCTTTTTGAATATAAGGAAATAATAAAATTTTTATTACGCTTTTATTTTTAAATTTTTCTTATTTTTATGAATCTAGAATAAAAATTAAATCTTTCGTGTTAGAGATGAGAAAAAATTGAACCTGTCACATAAAAGTTTCTTCTACTTCGAATAATTAATTCTGATATAAATTATTTTTATTTTTCTTCTTCCTAAACATATATATCTTTGAAAACAAAGCGAGTGAAGCCTAGTTTATATCTAAACAAAAAGAGACGAACAAAAATCTAATGATATAATTCGCTGTTATGTAAATCATCGTAAATGTTATTATGCAAAATATCGTAAAACCCCCATTTATTCTCGACTCGTATTCTGTTGGTGGTTTTTAACAAAGCATTTACGAGCTCATGTTTATATAATGATTTTTCTTGCTTTTAGTGGTCACAGATCACGCTGACATACTTCGGCTGGAAAAACTCGAGACACTAAGCGATGAAGTATGTCTTGAATAAGTGATTACGAGACTGGTTTGCTCGTGATCGCTTAACCAAGGTATAACACGGTTTTTTAATGAAATTTCATGCGACAAGGAGGGTGGCCATGGTGGTAAGCCAAGAGCAGCGAATGTCGTTCCAGCCATGCGTGGCGAATCAATAGCAGACGAAAGCGATAATTTCAGACTCCCTACAAGCTATCCACTAATGAAAATTGAAGCCTTCAGAATTTTGATGAAACGTTACGTTTCTTTGAAATTGTTATCCGTGATGCAATGCAGAAAATCTGACGGAAATAAATCTTAATGATACCTTCTGTGAGTTATTTTTAATCGGAAATATTGAAAGTCGAAGCTTCTAGAATTTTTGTGAAACTTTACATTTTTGTGAAATTGTTATCCGTGAAGCATTGCGGAGAATCAGAAAATAAATCATAATGCTATTTTATTTAGGTTATTTTTAATTAAATAGGAATTTGAGTAACTTAAATCCGAATTACTCAAGACTTAAATATGAATTATTCAAGACTTAGTGAAAATAAATCCAAATTTTATATTAAATTTTCTCTGTTAAACATAAATTCCACTGGTTTTTGGATTTTTTTGAAAAATTTGGAGATGGATGACTCTCTATATTTTGCACAATTTTTGGTTATGGCTGGGATAAATTATTTCTTCTTAAAGACTTATTCGTGAATAAATTAATCTTAATGATGTTTTATTTGGGTTATTTTTAATTGAAAATATTGAAAATTGAAGCTTCTAGAATTTTGGTGAAACTTTACATTTTTGTCAAATTATTATCTGTGAAGCATTGCACAAAATAAAAAATAAGTCTTAATACTATTTTATTTAGGTTATTTTTAATTAAATATGAATTTGATTAACTTAACAGATTATTACTCAAGACTTAGTGAAAATAAATCCGAATTTTATATTATATTTTCTCTGTTAAATATAAATTCCACTGATTTTTGGATTTTTTTGAAAAATTTGGAGATGGATGACTTTCTATATTTTATACAATTTTTAATAAATTATTTCTTCTTAAAGACTTATTCGTGAATAAATTAATCGATGAATATTTTATTTCAATTATTTGCCACTATATGTCAATATAAACGATTTTCAAATTTCTTCAAAAATTCGAGTAAATGTATTATATATTTCTATGTACCTCTTGCAATTTTTCATAGGTTGATTTATTTCCCTCGATATATAATTATATAATATTATTTATAAATTTGAGTTTCTCAAAATTTCGAATTTTCATTTAATTTTTAAGCTTCTCAAAAATTTTTACACGAATTGGTTTCTGAGTCTTCTGTAATTTTTCACCATTGATAAGCTAACTTGTTTTTCATCTGCTGTTCGAGATATCAGTTGAAAATTAAAGTACTTACTGGTAAATAAGACCATGACTATTCTCATCGCCGTCTGAGATATTCCTTGATACTTATGGCTGCACATGTCTTTCATAGAGTTCCACATGATGTCCATTGGCACGAAATATTGCAATCCATAGCTGAATAAAACTGCCAAAGCGATGAGCAGTTTCACTATTTGCCCGGGTCTGCAAAATAATGCATTCTCGTTTAGTCGAATATTTCCATTTTTGCTCGACATTTACACACGTTCCATTATGTAGACATGCAAAATTTCACGCAACTGTACACGCAACTATCTCTTCGATTAAGCAATCGAAATATAGTTATGTCGAATTCGATTTTGAAAAACAAAGATATCCACGTGACTATTATGTAAGGCGAAATTTGAGTACGAGATAAAATTTTAATTCCAATAATATTTTAATTCCAGTAATATTTTATATATACCAAAAAATTAAATTAATAATTTTAATAATTTAAAATTAGATAAGAAAAGTAATGTTATGTACACGGTAGATGATGTACTTTTTGAATTTGATAATTATATATATGTATATTTAATATACAATATATAATTTATTTTATATAATAAATAACGTATAACATGTACATTATAACGGAATTATTGATTAATTAGTTATATTTTGAGAAACTAACTTTTGACTATAGTCATCTTTAGTACAAGATGAGAGCTCGAAGTTAATTGACTATAATTAACTTTAGTGTATAGCGAATATTTTGGGCGACTATAGGAACCTTGAATATATAACAAGCATTCGACGTTGGATAATTATAGTAACCTTCGGTATAGAGTGATTATTCGATGTGGGGAGACTATAGTTATTTTTAGCATAGAATGATTATTCGACGTTGGATAACTATAGTCACCTTCGCCATACAGTAAACATTTGACGTTTGGTAACTATAATCACCTTCAATATACAGTGACTATTCGACGTTGGGTGACTATAGTGACATTTAGTATACAATGATTATTCAACGTTGGGTGACTATAATGACATTCAGTATACAGTAATTATTTAACGTTGGGTGACTATAGTGACCTTCACTATACAGTAAACGTTTAATGTTTGGTAACTATAATCACCTTCAATATACAGTGACTATTCGACGTTGGGTGACTATAGTGACATTTAGTATACAATGACTTTCAACGTTGGGTGACTATAGTGACTTTTAGTATACAGTAATTACTCGATATTGGATGACTATAGTGACCTTCAGTACACAGTGATTATTCGATGTTGGGTGACTATAATCATCTAGTGATCCTAAGTAAATAATCAGTACTCGACATTCGGTAACTGAAGTTGCCTTAAATATAGAGCGAATATTCAATGATAAAGAACTATAGCAACTTCCATTGTATAAATAGCGTTCGATGTTACACGACTATAGTCACATTCAGTAAACAACGAGTGCTCGGTATCAAATTACTATAGTCACTTTAACATAGAGCGAACGCAGGTACCATAGTCGTACTTATTGTTACTATAGAACGAGTTTTCATCGTTGAGTGACTATAGTCACGTTTACTATAACCAAAGAACTTAACCCTTTGCACTCGAGATGTGAGCTTCAGTCACCATTTCATAAAATTTGGAAGATCGATATTAATTAATATATCAAATTTAACGTAACGTAACAGTGTGCGAGGTATCGAAATCAAATAATTCTACAATTCTATTATTATACAATTCTTTATTTACTGCTGAAAAAAGTATAGTCAGTTTTTTACTAGAGAATCTTTGATTTTCTACTCTTCTCTAGCCAAAATATCGTCGAGTGCAAAGGGTTAATAGTAAGCGACTATAGTCATTCTCCGTATTCGACGTCTACTAAGTATAGTCAATGTTAGAAACGAATGAATCAATGAATAATTTAAATAATTATGTAACTCATAATAGCACTCACATCTCTGTCGTTGTCAAGTTCAGCGTGATACTTCCCAGAACTGCTGCTCCGTATTTTAAATAACCGCACACACCCAGTGTGGTGTATAGAGACACCACTATAGTCATCGTTATATTAAGGACACTTGGGCAACCAAGGAAATGATGCGGATTCCGCATACTGTTTTCCACAGGCATTACCTAGAAAATTAATTCCTCGTTGTAGCATTAAGAGCAACAGTCGTAATAGTTACGCTACTGTCTCCTATTGGTATACTATACGGTATGCATGTAGTATAGATAAAATAGATACATATGATGTTCTGTTAATTTTGGCGATTAACTTATCACAATGATAAATTTTGCTGAATTATTCACACTTTAGTACTGCTTAAGTGCCTTGGAGTTTACTCTTTGCACTGTACGGTTCTTAAAGCTATTAAAATGAAAGACAAATACCGTGCAAAGATAAGGATATGACACAAAATATCAATGTTAGGTCTCTGAAATTGGCCGAAATTGTTATTTTCAAATTTCTTATTCGGGTATTGAAAATTGAAACTTTTATTGCAATTAATACTCACTATTATTAAGATAAAAACGATTATTAAGATAATTATGCATGGCTATTTGGTTTTGTCACATTATTTTAATTACTTAATATAATTTTAATTAATTATTTAATTATTTAATTTTAATTATTGTTACCTGTGGGCTATATATATCATATTCTATATAAATATACGCTGTTTATGATATATTTATTAATACATACTGTGTATAGTAGCGTATTTAATTCAATTCTGTTGTTAAAATAATTAAAAACTATATAAAAGTCATATTTTTTACTATACACGATAAAAAGTAAAGGAAAACTTAAATTCTTCGCGACTTTTGCCAAATAAACGAGAAATATAAGTAGCATATTTAATTTCGCCCTATCTTTAACATAATTCAAAAATTTATTCATGAATTACATTCACACAACTGTACCCAACCAAAAGAAGAAAGAGAGAAAAAGAGAAACATAAAATCTCGGCGAAATTTCCCAAAATAAAAACTTAAAAAGCTACGAAGAAGGAAAACCTAAAATTTTCGTGACTATTGCAAAATAAACGAGAAATATGAGTACCAAACTTAATTTCGTTTTATATATATATAATTTAATTTTTTAATTTTTTAAATTCATTTAATTTAATTAATTTAACTTACTTTAAAAATTTGTTAATTTATATATAATTTAATTTCGTTAATATAATACCAAAAATGATTTCTCAATTACATCCACGCAACTGTACCCCGTCTCTAAAGAAAATAAAAATGGAAACAAAATCTTGGCGAACTTTCCCAAAATAGAAACTTAAAAGGCTATGAAGAAGGAAAACCTAAAATTTTTGTGACTATTGCAAAATAAACGAGAAATATGAGTACCAAACTTAATTTCGTTTTATATATATATAATTTAATTTTTTAATTTTTTAAATTCATTTAATTTAATTAATTTAACTTACTTTAAAAATTTGTTAATTTATATATAATTTAATTTCGTTAATATAATACCAAAAATGATTTCTCAATTACATCCACGCAACTGTACCCCGTCTCTAAAGAAAATAAAAATGGAAACAAAATCTTGGCGAACTTTCCCAAAATAGAAACTTAAAAGGCTATGAAGAAGGAAAACCTAAAATTTTTGTGACTATTGCAAAATAAACGAGAAATATGAGTACCAAACTTAATTTCGTTTTATATATATATAATTTAATTTTTTAATTTTTTAAATTCATTTAATTTAATTAATTTAACTTACTTTAAAAATTTGTTAATTTATATATAATTTAATTTCGTTAATATAATACCAAAAATGATTTCTGAATTACATCCACGCAACTGTACCCCCTCTCCAAAGAAAATAAAAATGGAAGCAAAATCTTGGCGAACTTTCCCAAAATAAAAAATTGTTAACACGAAAGGAATATGACTGCTGAAATAAATCGAACAGCCAATCAGCAACTACAATTTACAGGCACGAATTTTTCAGCGGGCAAGTAGAACGCCATTAACGTTTAAACTATAGATTGTCACACTTACGACACCGATGCCCTCGATGGCGAAGAGCACAGTTGCAAGAAACGTAGGCCACTGCTTTACCGGCGCGATCAACTTCACGTCCGGCGATATTTCGATCCCGTTGAAGATGTAGTACAGGGTTATCGCAAAGCCGACTATCATGCAGAGGTTGGCCATTATGGAGAATGGCACCATGTACTTCAAATTTCGCACCTGACCCAACAGCAGCACTGCGGGGATCAGGGTGAGTATGTACAAGCGAATCGGTATGATCATGTTGCTGTAATAATCCACCACCTGAAATCAAACGAGGAACAGTTTCGTCACAGGCACCTGGGATAATTGGTCTAACCGGTGTCTAACGAAGTTACCATGCGAGAAGTCGTAAATAATTTCGTCACTGGGTGCAAAAGCTCTTGGTCTATCTCGCGAGAATGCGACCCGAGTGAGCAGTCAGATTGTGTCGTAAATTGTACTTCGTTTCCGTGCAAATGTTTTATTTATGAATCATCGTCTGCTGTAATGTATGGCTTCCTGAACATGCGTTTAATAAAATAAAAGGAAGGAAAAATTGATGGAAAAGGAAAGTAATTACTTGGTAGTTAGACTGGTTGTAAATTAAGTCTCATGTTTTATTGATGCCATATACTGGGTGTTCTGGCAATTTTGTCCATTTTTATGGCTTTTATTGCGTTAAACAAGTTGTATGGGAAATCTGATTTAATGACAAGTTTTCTTTTTACCATCGAGTGGTGGAATTTTTTAAATTTCAAATTTTTATTCATTTCAAAGGGGGGGGGGGCAGAGTACTGTGTGTAGAGTAGAATAATAGAACACGTGTGTAGAATGGAATAAAAAATTACGTGTACGAAAGTGTAACAAAAATTGTTGAAATAATTAATAATATCTGGGGTCTGTTTGTTTTTCAGACGTGCATATAAATTTTCAATGGAAATTAGTATTGAGAGACATTGGAAATTTAAAAATGCAAACTCAAGAACGTTGATATCTATTATTCTAGGTACTGTGTACAATGTGAAACACGTTTCGTAATGACAGTAATAGCATCTACAAAGTCGGTATCTCAGGAATAATGAGTTTTCAGGCAGACGTGTCTTACTGCATTTATATTCAGAATTTATTATTTCCGTGTTTTTAGATCCTTCGTGTTCTACGTGCTCTTGAAAACGTGTATGAAACTGACAAACATCTTATATCTATAGATAAAACTATAGTTGTAGCGCAATAGTGAAAAATAAGGAAAAATATATTTTTAATAATATGATATATAAACTAATTTCTCGATTTAATAACAAATTGTTTTATCAGTTCATTAATGAGTACAATTTATAATTTAATTAACCTAGTAATGAAATGTAATAATTCATACATAATAAATTTTCTATTGATAAATTGCACAGTGAACGGTAGGTTGAGAACCACTATGTTGTATGAAATTTTATTTCAAAAGCAAAAAATTGAACATTCCATTTCAAAAAACAGAACTCTGCTCTATATCTCTTCCCTTTCATCAAATATTACGTGACTATCCCAGACTGAGAGTCACTATACTATTTTACCAAATATCATAAAAAAATTTTTTTTAATTTAGAAAAAGGATAGAAGAAAATTCTTCTGCACATATTTTTCCTGGAATATTTCACATTATATATTATGTACAATTTTTAAATACAATTTTAATATAATTTTGAATACAATTTTTTCTAGGAGTGTAAGGGTAATTTATGTAATATTCATAATTAATAAATAGTAATTTACATAATGTTACATTTATATAATATTATATTTATATTATATCCATATTAAATTTTACCATTCATATTAATTTTACAATTCATATGAAATTTTATATTATGTTCATATTTGATCCTAAAAAAGATTGTATTATACCAAAAATTCACGTTTCTTGCAAAAGATCGAATATTCCATTACCTTGGGTCTCTAAGAAACCAAAATTTTCTAAATGTTTAAATGTTTTCTTTGTCTTTACAGTGACTACGAGCAAACCATATTACCACGATTCTACCTTCTGCTCGTTGTCGCACGTTTTTCACCGGCAAAATTTACGCTTATTGCTTGGAACAATGGAGATATACGAGGTGGACAGAGTTAATATACCACCTGGTGCCATTTAACGTTCGAAGTGTCCGATTAGATACAAAGCATTCAGCCGGCGTGTAATTTGTGTTGAGGCAGGCAGGCAGGCCTGATTCTGCAGGTCAAACGAGACAGAACGAGTCTTGAGGCAACGCGTTGGCACAGATTTTCAATTGTGATCGAGGAAAAAAGGAGAAAGATGCACGTGTGACGATGAACGAGGACGAAGGAAACGAGACGATCGCAGATTAGACTGGTTTCGCAATCTACATTTTAATGCGGCTAAGACGGTGGATATAATTCACGGCCACTATACTCTGGTAAATTATGGAACTGTAAACATGGCAATGCAGATTATGCGAGACACAGCTGGCCGATCGAATTCGATGTTCAGGAAATATCTGTTTCTGTTTAATGGAATTTTCAAATGGAATTTTTTTCTAATTCTTTACGCGATGTATAGTGAAATTATTGGCCTAGATTAGATCAAATGACTGCGTTTAACCAGGTAAACTAAAAGTAAGTACATTGTGCTGTTGCTTGGTTAAATAAAAATTTTGCATAAATTTTGCATATGTTTTAGTAGGATGATGATGATTTCACGTAGATTATAAAATTGGACGATTTAATTAATTATCTACAGTTTGATAAATAAACGATGAGTATTAAAATATTGCTGAGGTAAAGAAAAATTTTGTAAAAATTTAAATAAGTTTTAGTAGGATGATGATGATTCCACGTGGTTTGTAAAATTGGATGATTTAATTATTTTTCTACACTTTGATAAATGAAGAACGAGTTAATATTGTTATAGTATTGCCTAGGCAAAGAAAAATTTTGCATAAATTTTGCATAAATTTTCATAGGATGACGATGATTTTACGTAGATTGTAAAATTGGATGATTTAATTAATTATCTACAGATTGATAAATGGACAATGAGTACTATAATATTGCTGAGGCAAAGAAAAATTTGGCATAAATTTTAATAGGATGACGATGATTTTACGTGGATTATGAAATTGGATGATTTGATTAATTATCTACAGTCTGATAAATGACTACCATAATATTGCCGAGGCAAAGAAAAATTTTGCACGAATTTAACTAATTTTTCGCATTAATAAAATAGCGATGCTTCAGTATAAATTTGAAGATAGTAGTGTTCACTTCAACACTGCGAAATTGGAAATGATTACTATAATATTGCTTAGACAAAATAGTATTATATATAAGTTTTATCAAAGTTCCATAATTATAGTTGGAAAGTATACTAGGCAATTAAAGATTCAAAAAGCAAAACCTCTAATTTAAAAAACGCTGACAGTAATTATAATAATCAAGTCGAGGAAACGTCTCGCGAAATATTAACGAACGTACCTGATTATTATATAATTCAATGAATAAATTAATTAAAGGGAGAGAGAGAGAGAGAGAGAGAGAGAGAGAGAGAGAGAGAGAGAGGGAGAGAATATTTTACATAACGAAAAAGATATTTGTTTTTTCGAGAATAATTTATTAAGCAAAATTCCAAATTCCAAATTTTATCGGATCAAGGAAATATTTCACGAAATAATAACGAATAAATCCAGTCATTGCATAATCCACGAATTAAATCAGTTGAAGAGAGAATAATTTATATAACAAAAGTCAAGTGTTAATAAAAAAGGAGGATTGCAATCGATTACGTCGATCTCTCGAATTTATCTGAACAAATAGGCCATATATCCGGCCGCGAATATTTCCATTCATCATCCAAAGTCATCGATGACGAGTGCTTTTACAACTCTTCAGTCAATGCTATCAGCCTGATATTCAAATTATCGGTGTGGGTACTCTTTCAACACTCGATACGATAACAGTGGCCTGCTTCTGCTGAATTCGAGTCGTCGATATCGATGCTTAACCTTTAAGCCATCTAATATTGAAAATACTACAAAAATTTCTCTATCCCGAGATCGACAGAATACATTCACTAAGTATAGAAATATAGATATATAGTTATAGTGTCATAAAATAGATTTTATTTAACTATACTTATCTACTTAAATCGAATCTATTCTGTGATAGGTTCGAAAGAAAATATGAGATGGATAAAAAATATTCACTAACTATATAAGTATAGTCACATAGTTATAGTATCGTAGAATAGATTTTATTTAACTATACTTATGTACTTAAATCGAATCTATTCTGTGATAGATTCGAGAGAAAATATGAGATGTACAGGAAATATTCACTATGTATATAAGTATAGTCATATAGTTATAGTATCATAAAATAGATTCTGTTTAACTATACTTATATACTTAAATCGAATCTATTCTGTGATAGGTTCGAGAGAAAATATGAGATGGATAAAAAATATTCACTAACTATATAAGTATAGTCATATAGTTATAGTATCATGAAATAGATTCTGTTTAACTATACTTATATACTTAAATCGAATCTATTCTGTGATAGGTTCGAGAGAAAATATGAGATGGATAAAAAATATTCACTAAGTATATAAGTATAGTCACATAGTTATAGTATTAAAGAATAAATTCTATTTAACTATACTTATATACTTAAATCGAATATATTCTGTGATAGATTCGAGAGAAAATATGAGATGGACAGAAAATATTCACTAAGTATATAAGTATAGTCACATACTTATAGTATTGTTGAATTGATTCGATTTAACTATACTTATATACTCGTCGTAATTTGCATAACTACCTATTTTCTGTGCATTAAGATATTTTTCTTATTTCATAATCCTGAATTCCGGAGTTAAGTAATTGGGTCTAACAAGAGATGTAATCTAATTGTTAGCTAAAATTCATAATCTCTATAAAATAACTCACTTAGTCCGGCCATAATTTACACTCTAACCTCTTTTATGTGCAATAGGAGTTTCTTCTAACCTCAAAATCCTGTACCTCAAAGCCATATATGATGTCTTTAATAACTTAATTATAATTTACACTCTAACCTATTTTATGTGCAATAGGAGTTTCTTCTAACCTCAGAATCCTGTACCTCAAAGGGATATGCGATAGAAAATATTAGATGTTAAGAAATTGGACTTTACAACATCCACAGTAATTAATTCAATTAAAATTCGTAATTCCAACAACGTAACTCACGTCTAGGGGCCTGTCCAATATTTCAAAATTTTCTGTGCAACGTAAGTTTCTTCTAACCTCAAAATCCTGTACCTCAAAGCCATATATGTTGTCTTTAATAATTTAATTATAATTTACACTCTAACCTATTTTATATGCAATAGGAGTTTCTTCTAACCTCAAAATCCTGTACCTCAAAGCCATATATGTTGTCTTTAATAATTTAATTATAATTTACACTCTAACCTATTTTATATGCAATAGGAGTTTCTTCTAACCTCAAAATTCTGTACCTCAAAGCCATATACGATAGAAAATGTTAAACGTTAGGAAACTGGACATTGCGACATCCACAGTCTTAATAAAAATTCGTAATTCCAACAACATTACTCACGCCTTGGCGTGGAATTCTTAAGTATAGGAAAGACGTATATTTAAAAAAAAGTCCCCTTGTGGTGGGATGTCTAAGTATAGGAAACACCTATATTTAAAAATTCTTCACGCCAGGGGGACTCGTATTATGCGATGAAGGAAAGAAAGAAAAAAGAAATTGTGTAAACTGGATGTTTGGGCTTACCTGTTTCAGCGAAGTCGAGACGAAGACCAGGTAGACGCAACTGCCGCCTACGTAGGTGGCGCACAATGCAGCGTTCACGAATATTCGACTAGCGTTGGCGAAAGGCCTGAGCGGTTTCGGGCCGCAAAGAAACGCAGCCTGAGCGGTTTCAGCGTACGTCATCTGTGGCGTTTTCGTTCGTTTGCATAGCACATGGGACGTACGGACCAGAATGTGGACACAATGCGCGCATATTATTCCGATTAGTATCGTGCCGATGCCACCGAACACTACTCCGCCGTTCTTAATCGCGTGCGGCATGGCGAGGATTCCTGTGCCCAGGGACGATTTCAGTAGGTGAGCCAGCGAACCAAAGTCTCTGTAACGTGAAAATTTTATTTTTCTTTCTTAATTGAGGGCTTAAAAGTCGCATCGACAGCAAGGTCATTAGCGACATGTAGCGTTAGAGGGGGTACTAAATGTATTCATATGATAGCTTGTTGCGTTGGATGAATCTGAGGATGTTATTGGCGTTTTCAGTGTTGTTAAAGATTTCTTCCATTCAGTTAGGAACCTTTGCCTGGGTTCGTGAGGCTACGTATTTCTTACAGTAAAATAAGATGTGTTGGATGGTCAAAGGATGTTGGCACTTGTCGCAGTAGGGTGGGGGTGTTTCTTTCAGAAGATGTTCTCGAGTAATTTTGGAATGTGCGATTTGGATCCTATTCAGTACGACTTGGTCTCGTCTGTTAGTAGATCTTCCTATATTATTTTCGAAGAAGTCATCGGATATTGCTTAATTTACTTGCTTTCTTGGAGCACCATTCGAGGTTCCAAGTTTGTTTGATTTCAGATGCTAATATTTTCTGATAGTCACGGTAAGGTAAGAAAATTTTCTTTCCTTCCTCTTTCCTTCCTATCTTGTGTTATGGTCAAATTCAATAGTGAAGTAAACTCTACATTCCAGCGGTGTAGGGGCGATCCCTTCCCCCTGTGTTCTGTCTTTTGTCACCAGTCTTCTGAAGACGACTTCTAACCTGCGAGGCCCTAAACAGGCCAGTTCTAACCATTCCCTCGTTCAATAAAGATCTATACAATTTTTCCACAGTTTTCCACTGACTACTATTCCTTGCGTTATAACCCCTTTAACATCTTGTGTTCAGATATAATTTTCCATCAATTTCTCCTTCTTTTTGATAACGGGTTTTTTATTCTTCTTCATTTCTGTTTCCTAATAGATATTTTTGTAATTTTTGGAAATATTTTTCCACAATTTTCCTGAGTATATCTTCATTATATATATAATTATACATGTGGTACATACATTAGTTTATGAGTATTATTATATATTATAATTCCTATACAGGGTGTCCCATTTGAAATTTTTAACTCGATTGTTTGATAACTAAACTATAGTTCTTCTCAAAAAATGTTTCAAACGAAAATTACTCTGCTTTCAGAAGGATACCTTGTAATGATCATAAATTTTTATCAGGTGGACGTGTTTCTGAGATTTCTAGGTGATATTGGTATTTTTTAATGGAAT